CCTTGTCTTGCAATATATTACTATGACAGCACAATTGAAAGTGTAATTTCCAGTGAGAACTGAAACCCGAGTGAAGTGTTAAAATGAGAGAAAGGATGTCGAACCTTGCTAAAGAGATGCCTGGAATAATAAGGGGGGGGGAGTATGTGCTTTCTGAGAGAGAAAAAAAATGATGTTCTTGTGAACACAAATACATACACACTTACTGGGTGGTATTCAAACAACTTTTACTCAAGTAGACTCACTGAAATTAATAGACTTAATTTAGTCATGTTCATTAATTTCAATAGGTCTGCCCTGAGTAAGTGTTAGTTGAATACCACCCACACAATTTGGTACAAAATTCAAAACTGCTGAAGGGACCCTCTTGGTAGCTCTGTTCAGGACGAATTTGTACCTCTGGTTTAGCATTTCTGAAGCAAAATGTAATGTTCCAGTACTCCAGCATGGTATGTATTTTACAAGAGGCATCATAGCATTCACTGATTTCGAGAAGCTTTCAAAACTAATCAGTAAGCAAAATGATTGTATCCAGGCACATTTATAATATATTTTACTGTTTTCATTGCTGGCACTATGCTAAGACCATTTTAGAAGAAAATTCATGGAGTAGTCATATAAAACAGAGTATAAACAAGTCTGTTAACATTTATGTCACATTTATGAAATATAAAATATACATTATATATCCCCCATGCAAACAAAATATGCATAATAGCTACCTGGGCAGATTCTACATGTCAATGTAATATAGTAGCCAATATTTTAACCCATATGCAGCACAAGCCTATGCACACTTCCTTCAGAGAAAGCCCCATTGAACTCAATGATATTTACTTCCAAGTAAACATGCACAGGATTCTGCAGCCAATCTCCTCCTTTGGTATTTTGACTAACAGGGAGAAAGCCCATGAATAAACTGACATAAAAAGTCATTTCCAGGTCAACTTTTTTTTAAAAAAACCCCACATTTAATAAAAAAATAGTTTGCTGTTCACCCCAATACTTATTCCTCATTTATAGCCTACCCCGAAACTGGAAAAATAAAATGATCACATTTACAGTACATATTTACAATTCCAAATTCAAAAAGTTGGTAGAGAAGTGTAACAATGGACATGTCTTAGGAATTATGACTGATCAAAGTTTGTTTTTTGGTCAGGGTGTTCAAGATATATATGTTCAGGGCGATTGACTGCAAATCAGAATGCATATCTTGTCCTCTGTGCATCTGTTTCAGAGTATGTAAACCAGTGAATGGCCACTGGTAAAATCAATAGCTTAGTATTTTTCTTGCATTACTCATGTGGAGGGCATTCAGAGATAATGGGAGCAGGGCTAGCTGCAGAGGTTGCAAATGTGTGGAGAACTTATGGAGGAACAGCTACAGCTGTTCACTTCAGGCATCTGTATTCAATCCATGGATGGTGAAGGGTTGGGACCAGAACCAGCAACAATGCCTCACTTTCTCTTCCTTGACAAGAGTAACAAGTGAAAAGGGATGTGGACTTACTTAAAGCCATGGTTTATTTATTTATTTTTAATTTATTAAAGGAATGGCTTTTGCCATTTCTCAACAGGCTTGAAACAACAAATCAGAGCTCTGGTTGGGCAAAGCTACACACGACCCTGATTATCATTTTTCTATCTTGAGGAAGAATCCCACATCCATTTCTCCTTCTCTTCCTGTGACATTTAATATGGAAAACAGATGGTAGCTATGCCACCTCCTTGCACAGCCCATTGTCACCCCCCTTATAGCATTCAGTAATGAGGAGCAAGGACCAGAAGGAGCTGCTCTGCTAGCTTCCTGGAAGGTGGGGTTGCTGTGGGTTGCTAGGAGGAAGAGGGTTTCTAGAAGGGAGAGGCAAAGGGAAGGTTGATGTGGTGCAAATTCACCAGCAGGAGTGCTTAGTTGGCTCTGCCAGTGCGTCTGCACCACACCAACCTCCCTGCTGCCTCACCCCTCACAGGGAGAGACTCACCTCCTGGGAAGCTAGCATAGTAGCTCTGCCTCACCCAGGCAACATTAGAGAAATCATGACTACGTAGTGTGCCACATTCCCCATTTTAAATGTTACAGAGTAAAAACGGGGAAGGAGGAGGCTTTGCTGTTTTTGATGGTAGTCTGTGTTCTGCCTCGTGTGGAAAAATAATGACTAATCTTACACAGTGTTGAACAGATTCAAAATGTTTCATGGGCATGCATAGAATTCTCTTCATAGGAGAATTAACATGTACCCAGAGCTGTTAAAGTTCATTAAGTAAATATTACCTGGTAGATAACTTCAGTGAAAGTCACCTCATTCTCCCCTTTATAGCTGCCTCGTCAAAGAGTAGGAGAAAATAACATTGAATCCCAGTCCAGGCAAAGTTTATCATGCTAAAGTGGTGCAACTTGCTTGTCCCACCCATTCCAATGTGACTTCCTTTGGGTTAGGGCAGTTGAATGGAAGCTCACAATCTGCTGAGCACTAAGTATGCACCAGGTGCCAAACTAAACAGAAAAGTGTCAGGGACAGGGCAGAAAAGCTGGTCAGAGGAACTTACAGTCTGTTAAGGCTGAAGGAGTGAGCAATGTAACAGTTAAAAGATGGGCAGGTCTTTCTGAACTCACAAGTCAAACCTCAGAAGCTCTTTCAGCTTGGAATCCATGAAACCAGACGGGGGCATTTTGTGGGATTTGGGCGGTACCACTGAATCTTTTATCCAATTTAACCTGATACGCCCAATTACTTACGGGTTTATCCACAAAGTGATTTTACCATGTCAACGATGTGTGGCTGTGCTGTCAGAATGTGCCCCCATGTGGTGCAAACTGGTATTTTATGACAGGAGAATGGAGATTTGGTTGTCGTGGTTCACTCTGTTGTGGCAAAAGATACCGATTTGCACCCCCAAGATTTGCTCAGACATAAATGAACATGGTAAAGTTACTTGGTAGTGACTTTTCACACCTCCGTAAAGAATGTGAGAATTGGGCTTTCAGTTGGGCATCTCTATAGCGAGTTTGTTAGTTGTAATTAATTGCTTGTTTGTTGTACTACCAAATTTCTCGTTATTCCTCCTGTCTGCCTCAGAAGGGACCCCCTGTGCTATGCTTTGTGCTAGAGACAGATAGAAGCAACTGCTGGCCTTGTAAGTTTTAAATAAAAAACGGGATAACAGCAATTGTTGTTTCTTTGTCCTATCCCAACCTGAAACCAGTTTTGCATCAAGTCCAGTCTACTCTAATTACGTCCACATGACACCTGCACTCTGTTTTGGCTAGTAAAAAAAGGCAGGCTTTGGGGCTTCTCCATCATGTCCAGATTCCGCCCCAACCACCTTTTAGATTTTTGTTTTGCAAATTACCTTGTAAATCGATGGTCCTGAAAAACTGTACAGTGGTACCTCTGGATGCGAACGGGATCCTTTCTGGAGCCCCGTTCGCATCCTGAAGCGAACGTAAGGCGCAACTGCGCGTCTGGCGTTTCGCCACTTCCGCGCATGACGTCATTTTGAGCGTCTGCGCATGCACGAGCGGCAAAACCCGGAAGTAACGCACTCCATTACTTCTGGGTCGCCGTGGAGCGCAACCCGAAAATATTTAAGCTGAAGCATATTCATCCCGAAGTATGACTGTATTCTGTTATGAAAAATAAAACCAAAAACCAACATTTACTACCAATATTGTTTTCTTTCTAGTTCTGCAAGGCACAGTGGTTTCAGAAGCACTTTGTGGGCGTGGTTTCTATCTGGAATTTCTGAATGGTGAGAGAACTTGCAATGGGGGAAAAACCTCTAATCTATCTAGAGCAGGGATGGGGAAACCCATGGTCCTTCCGATGCCACTGGACTGCAACTTCCATCATTCATTGGCCAGGCTGGCTGGGGTGAAGGACCACTTGGTGGACCACCGGCTCCTCATCTCTGCTCTAGAGCTTTATCTCTGTTGATGTAAAGCGATAGCATCTGTATCCCCAATGCATAACTAGGCAAATAGGAGTGGTTAATTTGCACATCATTGATGGAAGTGCAGATTTCTAGGTATTCAATGGTTAATTAGTGTTGAGCAGCTTTTTCAAGCTGAGTCATAAATCTATTATTCTTAACTGGAGAGCAGCCATAGCTCAGTGATAGAGCATCTGCCTTGCATGCAGGAAGTGCCAGGTTCAACCCCTGGTATCTCCAGGTTGGGCTGGGTGTGGGCCCTGCCTGAAAATTGCTGGAGAGCGGCTGCCAGTCAGTGTAGACAGCACTGAGTTAGATGGACCAATAGCCTGCCTCAGTACAATGGTACCTCAGGGTTAAGTACTTAATTCGTTCTGGAGGTCTGTTCTTAACCTGAAACTGTTCTTAACCTGAAACACTACTTTAGCTAATGGGGCCTCTTCCTGCTGCTGCGCCACCGGAGCACAATTTCTGTTCTCATCCTGAAGCAAAGTTCTTAACCCGAGGTACTATTTCTGGGTTAGAAACGGGTTAGAACAGTTCTGTAACCTGAAGCGTATGTAACCCGAGGTACCACTGTATATGGCTCCCTATGCTGGTTCTTGGAGTTATTTCAGCAACTACAACAAGTTTGTCATTTCATATTAATGCCTCAATTCAAAGATTTAACACAGACTAATTTGTATATATGTCTTTTTTAAAAATCAGAAGTTTCATCCCTCGCACTTATTCCCATTTATAACTCCTAAGGTCATGATCTGCCTCTTCCCTTGCAGTCTTATCTGTATCAAAAGCGTCACCTCCCAAGTTTAATGAGCTGGATAGGCACTCATATTCATATTGGGTTTTTTTTGTGTGTGTGTGTTTGTCTGCTTCTGCATGCAGATCTCCCTGGCTGGGCTGGGGGGAAATACTTTTCTTCTGCCAAATATTTGCTGCCGTTGAAACAATGGCTACTATTTGCTCTGAAAATATGTTCCTTCCTTAAGCACAGCTTGAATAATAAGGCTTGATAAAGGCAGATTACTGAGTAACAGTATTATTATTATTTCTTTTTTTTTTAAAAAAAAAAGAAGTATTAAAAGCCTATAAAGATTCCTCTTGGTGGAATTTTTTTTTAATAAACAAGGGTTTGGAATATTTATGTTCAAGTAATGATTTATCTTAGTTGGTGATGACAGGGATGAGAGGATTTCTGCATTTTGTGGGCATAAAAACACAGGACTGACACTTGGAAAGGATACCAAGAGTGGATTAATCAGGAGGAAGCAGGAGGAGGTCAAGAATAAATAAACAGAGCAGAGTTTAAAAGTTTTAAGAGGGACCCAGCTACTTAATGGATACTGTAGACCTGCACAAAGAAGTGTGAATTTTCCAGTCCAGTTCAAGCAGAAATGAATAGCAGCTCTCATTTCCAAAGTTAAATACCGTCTGTGCATATAAAACAGTTCATTCATTAGTCCAAGTGTTCCTGTTGTGGCAGTCTTGAAAAAGTATTCCCTTTCTCTTGAGTGTGTTCTTCATGAGACAGAAGGTTCGGAGGGCCACCTAGGGATTTACAGATAAACACACTTAGAAGGTCGCATAAGGCATCTTTGATGAGATTTAACAAAGATTATAGTTTATACTCTATCTAATAAATAAAGCGGTGTATCCAATGTTAGGAGAAGGCTTGGACTGGCCGGTTAAAGCAGGTGGGGGTAGCTGATGCGTCCCAAACCCTTGGTGAGTTAGGGACTTCCCTGCATGCCAGATAGGCTCTAATAGATTGAGCAGACAAGACCAATAGCAGATCCAACAGTCAAGATGGCAGTTTCTGCACATTCTGTAGAAGAAAGTGAGGGGCAGACAGGTCTCATCAACCTGGGAAGGTAGCCCATCAGAAAACTTTGATTCTAAACCTCCACTACAGTGGTCATCACCCACATCTTATGTCAGTGGGGAGATATATATATATATATATATGCAGGTTTTGGTGTTCTCGGGTGTCTTCCCGTGTAAAAGTTGGGGTGTCTAGGCACTTGCCTAGACACCCCAACTTTTACACGGGAAGACACCCGAGAACACCAAAACCTGCATTCCTGTACCCGTGAAAATCTACGAAAGCATATATATATATATATATATATATATATATATATGCATGTATTTATAACAGCATTTCTATACTGTCAAAAAATATCAAGGTGGTGTGCAACAATGCACACTCTGTATGCTCAATGTACAGTAGACCCTTGGCTTATGTTACTGTCGAGTAACGTAAACTTCGGGTTGCGAAAGCGGCAAACCTGGAAGTATTTTTCTGGGTTTCGCCACAGGCACGCTCTATCACGCCACATGCTTGCGCAGAAGCAGCACCTCTGGCTATGGATTTTTCTGGGTGTGCACAGACCCCTGGAACAAATTAAATTTGTATCCAGAGGGTCCACTGTATATTTATAAGTATAGAGATGCAATAAATAAAATAAAAATGTTGCAGGATATCATTGGTTTTATTTCACCCTATGACTGAGGGAGCTAAAAACAAAACGTTGGCATCAAAGACAGGAGTTGGTGCTCCAATGTGGATTCTTCTTCATATGCAAAACATATGCATGCAGTTGAGCGCTGGATTTGGCCTGGAAGAAGGACTGAAGGGACAATATAATTCGATTGACTATTGCTACAACCTCTAACCTGCAGTATTAGCAGTGGACTAAGACGGCATGGCTGCCACTGGTTGTTCGCAGAGCATAGCCCCCAACCTGCAATATGGGCAGTGAACTACACTGCAGTGTGTTGTATCTTACTCCGCCCAGACTATTTCTTGCAGGCTCTCTACAGTTACCTTCTTTGCAAGATGGTCCCATCCATTTGTAGAGACAAGTGCATTTGCCATTTCGCACGTCGCATTGGGATTTATTGGCACATTGGCACCGCTGAGAGCAGTTGGGGCCATATTTGCCTGGCCCACATTCTGCAAGAGACAGCAAATGTTTATGTCACAGAGTTTTAATTTTTAGTTTTTGCTATCCCCTCTCCATCACCACTGCCACTCACCCCACCAGAAATGCTTTAAAACAGAGCGGGAGAGAACAAGAAAATAAAGAAGGCATGCTAGGAAATAAGGAAACATCGGATTCTTCTCTTACTCTTAATCAACAATTTACTAGCATTTAATCTGTAATATGAATGGTTTGTAGCCAATCAATTGATTTAATCTAAAGATATTCCCACTTTGCAATGCTTCAGTGAAGGTGAGAGGATTCTTAGGAGAGAAGATATTCATAAATATGAAGAAATTTACTCTCTCATTTTTTATTTTTTAAAGAAGATGGCAATGACTCCAATCCAGTGGAGGATGTCACTAGCGGAAAGGAGAGGCAATTCTCACTTATTCCTCTTTTGCTTGGCAGTATCCCATGCCTAAACTGTTCCAGAGAGTTGAACTTTCAGGAGGAATGGAGCGTTGGGGGAAGGAGGAATTGTCAAAAATCACTTTCCCCCCTTCACCCTCTGCTATTGAGAGCCTTCACTAGATTGGAGCACATTATCACAAACAACATTTATTTAATTAAACAAGTATATCCTCCCTTTTGTCAATATTGCTCTCAGAATAGGGAAAAGAACTAAAAGAATAAAGACACCCCCCCCAAAAAAAATAACAACCCTAAACTTTTTTTAAAAAGAAATCACCCCAAAGATGTAGAAGTGGCAGAAGCAAAAATAAATAAAAGGATTAATGCAGAAGTCTTATAGCAATCTGGTGGCATTTAAAAAGGTTTGAGAGCATGAAAGTGCAATTGTCCGGTATAATTAAGATGTGTGCCTTCTCAGCCTTTTTTAAGGAACAGCCTTTTGCAAATGAGCACAGACAAGAAGGCCCCACTCTCTGGTCGCCACCCAGCTGTCTTCAGATTGGGGCAGGGGGCACCCAGAGAAGGACTTCCAATTATGACCTCAGTACAAAAACAGGTTCATGTGGGACCGAAGGGCAGGTGAATGGGTAGGTGTTGCTTTTTTAATGGCTTCCATGCTTGGTTACGTGAAAGAGTTGGGTCTCCATCATTCTCATTACTGATTAAATGATGGGTGGGCGTGTGCCTGATTAATTCAATTTCTGTGAATTCTGATGCAAACAGAATTTATCTGCACCTCTCAGACTGATGTGCGAATCAGAAACGACCCTTCAGTAGTTGCACTTCTTCAAATTCTGCAGACCTCAGCTCACTCAATGTACCCAAACGATGTTTAAAAATATGCATTCTGTAGTAAGATTGGTTTAAATATGCACATACTGAGACTCGTTTGTTGAGGCATATTTAGATATTAATTTTTAACAAAAAACATTGCAGATGTGGAAACGGGATAAAGCAAGCTTATGAATAAACCTAAGAGGACTTACATGGACTGAACTGACCATGTCTGCTGCAGGGTGCTCATTAATGAAAACCTCTACTACTACATATTCCCATAGACACTTTCTCTCACCTGGACTGTGATAAAAGACAATAGACCTTTTCTTTACACCATCTGAGCTATTACATAACTAAAAGCAATTTGCTGGGCAGTTAGGATCGCTTCCCCCCACCAGGAGAATTCTTTAGTCCTATTCAGACACTTCAGTTCTTTCAATTAAGGGAACGTTGTGAGACAGGCTCTTGCAAACACCTCTGGGCCTGATTTTAATTTAAGTAATAACCACATTTTCATGTTCATAACAATGTGTATTTAAGACATCTGTTTGAAAGTCTGCAATGTTAATTTAGCAGAAAAAAGCAACCTAATAAAAAACCTCCTATATATTCTCTTGCTTTTTTTTTTTAATTAACATTATGGTTGTTTAATGGGTGCTTTACCAGAGTTCAAATTAAAATCAGGCCTTTTATCTTTATAGCTGCTGCACAGTCACAGCTGCTCATGGTTATATCACAGATGAACTCGGCCTAATTGAAAATAAAACCAAACCCATAACAGCTTTTTAAGCTTTGGGGGTTGCACAGACTGTTTCGAAGAAAATAAAAGTGACTTCTACTTTTCTTTCCTTTTTTTCTGTCCCCCCCCCCAAGGAGTACAAAACTTCACTCTTATTTTTTGTGCTGAGCTTCCCCCTTGTGTTCCCCAGTTGTCTAAACAAAAACACTATCTAGCTGGAAAAGCTCTCTGCATTCAAGTAGCCTTACTCATTGTACTGTGTGGTCCCTATTCAAACCACAAGAACTGAAAGATTGGAATCTTGAGCAGGGAATGGGGCAAGCTAGGAAGAGAGTCATTTCCTTTCTTTTAGGCTCTTGGGTTGGAGCAAATCCCGCGTTTCCAACATCCTGGGGCACTTCATTCACACTGGCTGTATTTGAAAGCATACCATGCCATTTCCCTTCTGGGTTGTGGATCTTGAACTTGTAAGCAACAGGCTGTTTTCCATCCCTTTATAGTCGGGACCACATTTCAACAGTGTATTGTTGCTTTGAGTGGAGACCATCTGGGTTTACACCCAGTGTAAACATTAAATAAGCCTTAAGGCTTGTAATGATGGGACCTCTGCAGCTTCCTTATGATTTTCCCTGACTATAGCTACTCTCAGGAAAGGATAATCTGCTTTGCAATCATGATTGCAAAATTCACAGATATTCTCTCTGATTAATCCAAAAAGCCAAGAATAAAGTAATCCGCTTGAGTTGAGGGTGGATGGAAGAGTCTGTGGCAAAGGAATGGCCACTTCCTAAGACCTGCTTGGCTCTCATAAGCCAGGGAAGTGTGTGTTGGTTCCATAGAATCACAGAATTGGAAGGGACCCCAAGGGTAATCTAGTCCAACCCCCTGCAATGCAGGAATCTCAGCTAAAGTTTAGTCGGAATCTCCTTTCTTGCAACTTGAAGCCATTGGTTCGAGTCCTACCTTCCAGAGCAGGAGAAAACAAGTATGTTCCCTCCTCCATGTGACAGCCCTTAAGATATTTGAAGATGGCTATCATATCTCCTCTCAGTCTCCTCTTTTCCAGGCTAAACATACCCAGCTCCTGCAAGCATTCCTCATAAGGCTTAGTTCCCAGACCCTTGATCATCTTGGTTGCCCTCCTCTGCACACATTCCAGCTTGTCAACATCCTTCTTAAACTGTAATGCCCAGATTTGGACACAGTATTCTAAGTGTGGTTTGACTAAGGCAGAATAGAGTGGTACTATTACTTCCCTTGATCTGGACACTATACTTCTGTTGATGTAACCTAGAATAGCATTAGCTTTTTTTGCTACTGCATCACACTGTTGACTCATGTTAAGCTTGTGGTCCACCAAGACCCTTAGCTCCTTTTCACATATACTGCAGTGGCAAGGAAAATAACTGTACCAGTTTCAGGGTTAGTGCACACACACACCCCCTTTTGAGAGGGTGCTAGGGGAATGAGGCTATGCATCTGGTGGACCCAAAGCCTCTCACAGTATAACCCCCACTGTCCTGTTTGGGCCTACTACCACCCTTATTAGGGACACGGGTGGCGCTGTGGTCTAAACCACTGAGCCTAGGGCTTGCCGATTGGAAGGTTGGCAGTTTGAATCCCCGCGACGGTGTGAGCTCCCATTGCTCGGTCCCAGCTCCTGCCAACCTAGCAGTTCAAAAGCACATCAATGTGCAAGTAGATAAATAGGTACAGCTCCGGCGGGAAGATAAATGGCGTTTCCGTGCGCTGCTCTGGTTTCGCCAGAAGCGGTTAGTCATGCTGGCCACATGGCCCGGAAAAACTGTCTGTGGACAAACGTCGGCTCCCGCAGCCAGTAAAGCGAGATGAGTGCCGCAACCCCAGAGTCGTTCGCGACTGGACTTAACTGTCAGGGGTCCTTTACCCTTTACTTTTACCACCCTTATTATTGTCCAGTTCCGAGGGCCTTCTGCTAGTCTCCTCACTGAGAGAAGTGAAGTTACAGGGTTGCAAAAAGCAGTTTGCGGGTGCCATTTTGAGTAAAAAAAAATGGCCAGCGTGAAAAGGGTTAAGCAGTACCTCCCGATCAGGAAGGGGGAAGGGCAATTTAGTCAGGACACTGTTACATGTGTCTGCTGTGTAAGATCATTTAATTGTAGCATGTTCCTTATTTGTTTATTTAAATGTGTGAAGCAGTAAAAAATGGCAGCCCCCTCGAATCTGCAGCCTTAGGTGGTACAGTCTATTCTACCACTTCAGGATTATCACATTGCTCTGCTTCATACCAGCAACAGGGAAAACAGGGAAAAGAAAATGCATCAGTTTTGTTCCAGGATCTTACCAACATCACACCTGTCCCCAGTTGTGCCAGGCGGGCAAAAGCACTTTCCAGTAACTGGGTCACACCGATTTGATCCTGCACACTCACAATGATGTTTGCATTTGTCTCCAAACATTCCAGCTGGACAACCTGAAAAAGCAGAGCATTGGCATATGCAATATATATATTGCCATTGTAAGAAAGACAATGCAACGTAACTGAATAATTTGCCTTAACATTTCATTTAATACCAATACCTCTTGACAGGACTGCTTCCCATGTTCAGAAATTTCATAGCATGCCAGTGTTTGAATCTAAAGCATCTTTAGCATAGCTAAACAGGCCCCAAGATGCTCCAGCACTTGGGCTGTCTTAAATAGGAAATTTACCTTTTTCACAGTGTACCCCTTGGAAACCTGGGGCGCACACACACAGCCCAGTCGCTGGGAGACACGTGGCTCCATTTTTACAGTTGCATGGATACCGACAGTGGAGACCATAAAATCCAGATGGGCAGGCTGAGAAGTGAACGATAATGTTATTTCAGAAGATGCACCATTTTCACAGGATTTTGTCCCACACTAATGTTGGAATGCTAGAAGAAGACATCAGCAGGCAGCCCTGTATAGGGACGTTTTTAATGTTTGATGCTTTATTATGCTTTTATATTTTTTGGAAGCCACCCAGAGTGGCTGGGGCAACCCAGTCAGATGGGCAGGGTACAAATATTAAAATAATAAAATACTATTTATAATCATCATCATAAAATATGAAGAGCCTGCCAGATCAGGGCAATGGCCCACATAGCCCAGCATCCTATTCTCTCAGTGGTGAACCACATGGCTATAGTAAATCTACAAGCAGGATTTGAGCACAACAGCACCCCTTGTGGTTTCCAAAAAATACAGTAGTATTCAGAAGCATTAGTTAGTGCCTCCAACTGTGGAGACAGAATACAGCTACCATGGCTAGCAGCCATTGATGGCCTTATCCTCCACGAATTTCTGATCTATAATTTAACTATGCACCATGTGAAGATTTGAACATTTCAGTAAGAGGATAGGCTGGTATGGTAGCTAAGTGGACCTTCATAGGAACCTGACTTATACCAAGTCAAACCCATTCGTCCATCTAACTCAGTATTTTCTACACTGACTGGCAGTGGCTTCATAGGGTTTCAGATGGGTCTTTGCAGCCCTACTTGGAGATTCTGGGGGTGGAACCTTGCACCTTCTGCATGCAAAGCCGAGATATGGCCCTTCCAATAATTTAAACTATGTACTACTTCACAGATGCCTACATACATCACTCAATATTTTCTTCACTTAGCAGCAGAACATTTTGACAATTAGTTCTAAGGAGATGCAACAAGATATTAAAATTATGTCTGTGGTTATTCTTGCATAGGCATGCATTGTTATTGCCAAGCTAGCATCTTGGCTTTGCTTCCTTGGCCGATTACTTACTGTAGTTGCAGGAATGTCCGTAATAACCTTCTGTGCACTGACAGCAGCCAGTAAACCGGTTGCAGGTTCCGTTATTCTGACAAGCGCAATCTAGCTGACAATCGGAGCCATATTTTCCAAGAGCACATTCTGCGGGGGGGGGGGGATGTCCAGAAAACCTTACTAATCTAAACCAAAAACTGAACAATGCTCCCCTGCTAAACAATCACAAGGCAACAGGAAGATCTGAGAAATATTGCAAACTCAAACCCTGCTGCTACTTCTTCCAGATTAGACATGATTTTACATAGCTGAGAACATTGCAAGTAAAACTGTTTCAACTATTTGGAGGGTTTCAAAAGCATTAGTAACAAACCACATCTCTTTTATCATGAGGTTTTGGGGTAGTTTTGCATCTTCCCATGAAATGTTCTCAGCAGTTATATCCATGAGTTCACACCAGTGACCACTACTCTACGAACCAATAAACTCAGCACAGCGTAATTTGGTCATTTATAATTGGGCTGTCTGGGTGAAGAGAATTGCACCATAAATCCCATGCAAATATGTAGGGAAAATGCTCGTCTGTAAACAACGCAACGAAGGAGAAAAGAAATACTACCTTTCTCACAGTAGCGTCCTGTCCAGCCAAGTCCACAAATGCAGGTCCCATTCACGGGATCACAGATGCCACCATTCTTACACAAACATTTTAGCTGACAGTGGGGGCCATATCTTCCCTGGGGACACACTATAGTAAATTAACAAAGTGTTTTTTTTTTAAAGAAGAAACAATAATTTAGTGCAACACAAAAATGAATGCCATAGCTAAGGGAGACAATCTCCATTCCCTGGACAGCTTCCCACTATACAGGAGAAGAAGGAGACTTCTGGTCTTTCAGGTATCGTTGGGAGTCCCGACTCCCATCAACCCCATCAAGGATGGTTGTGGTTGTAGTCCAGGAGCCACATCTGGAGGGCTACAGATTCCCCACTTTGCTCAAAACAATGAAATTGTAAAAGACGAGCAAAGCCAGGAGAAGGGACTGTAACATGCACACACAAATAAAGAAAAGGATGAAACCATGGATTGTTGATGGGGTGACAGCCAGATTCCCCAGTGCACTCTGAATGTGAAGCTGTCTTCTACAAAGTCTGAGTAATGGACCATCTAGCTATGTCAGTATTTGTACTGATTAGCTGTAGTGCTCTAGGGTTTCAGGCAGGAATCATTTGCAGCCTTGAGATGTCAAGGATGGAACCAGAGACCTTCTGCATGCAAAGCAGTGAGCTACAGCCCTTCCCCATGAATATTTTTCCTCAAAGGAAACTGAAGGTTAAGGCAGAAATGAATGAAATGATTTTTAAAGCCCATTCGTTCTCACAGGGATGATTTTACCCTTGCTCTTTCCATACGATCTTTATAAGACAGAGAAAGAACTTTGCTAAAAAGAATTACATGGATCAAATTACATTTTAAAATAACCATTTCTTTACGGAAACACCGTTGAGCAAGAGCTGGGGATGGGTGAGACAACAGATAAGAGACAGAAGCAGGTAGGAGGCAATAGCATGACAGTGGTATTAAAACATTTGCTTCCATTAGCCTCCAAGATTGGAAACTCTGACCAGTCTTGAGGGAGCACAGACATTTATTAATATTGCACATTTGTTCTGGCTGTTTAAAAGCTGATCATCTCATACATTGAAGGCAGTTGGGTCCAATTCGGCCAGGTGGACAATAGCACTCGCCTGTCACCGAGTCACAACGTCCTTCACCACAGGAGCAGAATAAGGCACAGTCCTTCCCATAGTGATGCTCTGGACAAGCTAAAAGGAAGAAAAAAGCAGCATGGTTTGCCAGCTCATTGCAAAAAGTTAAATCTGCAAGTTCCTTTTCTTAGGAGAAGGCTGTTCTTTTTACTCTACTAAGGCTGTGTACCCAACACAGATTTAAAACACATTCAGAGAATTACCCCTCCCCCATTTCCTGGAAACTGCATTTTGTTAAGGGTGCTGGGAATTGTAGCTCTGGGGAGGGCAGGCTACAGTTCCTTACATAGTTTTGGGTGGGCAGAATGTGCCCTGAATGTGCTTTAAAAGCATGGCATGTACATAGCCTGTTTGCTAGAAAATATTTAGCATTATTAGACATTTTGTGTTAAATAAGCCCCACTGCTTCCTCACCAGGGGCTGGGATTGCTCCATGTTTAAAAGTGTGCCAGCAACTGTAGTCATTGTGATATATGGAACTCACTTCCTCATGCCCAGTGCATGGCCTAGACGCTGGCCTAGAGAGGCACTTACTTTTCCCACAGTCTGCTCCGATGAAACCAGGCAGGCAGTCACAGGCTCCTGTCACAATGTCACAATGCCCTCCATTCAGACACTGACATGCTTTCCGGCAATGCGGGCCGTATGTTCCTTTGGGGCATCCTGTTGAAGTCAGGAGAAAGCATCTCTGAGAAAAGACATTCAGTGCCGAAACCTGGGCTGTGTAGACACAGTGCATTTCAAGCAAGTGGCCTCTCCTCACAAGAATTCTGGGAAATGCAAAAGCTACAGTTCCCAGGGAAGTCATGTGCTTTAAATGTATACAGTGCATGTAGCCTTTGGTGTGATCTTGGCAACCCTGGCTTACTCCAATCACATTAAAAAAAACCTGGGTGGGTCCTGATTTTAGAACAAAGGGGCCAAATGTATGACAGTAGACTACTTTTCCTCATGCTTATCTTCCTGCAATTCCTTCACTCACCCAATACTTTCCCCTCAACTAAGCTCACTTCTAGGCTTCAGCTGAGGGGAAGAGACTACAGTGAGAGCTTTATATACGACTGGGGATCACCCAAGTTCGGACCAAATGGTTTTCCTCCATAACTTCTTACGGGATTTTTATGCCACCAGCATCCTGGCTTCTGAGCCAGGAGAACCCCAACATTGAGTCAACCACAAGAACCAAGGTGGCACTCCTACCTAAAAGACCAGCACCAGCTTTTTAGCCCAACGGGGCCATGCATCCTCCATTGCTGGTCAAATCCACACCTCACAGCTAATGAACACAGTTTCTCCTAAAGAATCCTGGAAACTCTGGTTTGTTGAGGGTGCAGGGATTCTTGGGGGGTGGGGGAGAGATGCTTAAAATGATATGGTGTGGATCCATATCATCAGTGCAGCAGGCAATATTGAACCTACCAGGCTCACCACTCTGAAAGGACCACTGCATAGCTACTCTTGCATCCTTCAATAGGTACCACCTATAGCTTGAATGTGTCACAGTTTAAGCAGGGATGTTTATTAGCATGCTTTTTCCCTTTTGAATGCTTGGAAAACAAAAGTTTCTCTGCCCCCCCCCCCGGCAATGAGTTTAGTTTCCCAGTTGGTTGGAGACCAAGGCGACGTGAATTCAAAAAGTAACCTTCAGTCACTGCAATGCCTAAGAAATCTCTTTTGCTGCAAATATACAGTCAACACCCGATCAAACAATCTGAGTAGATCAGTTTTCCTCTCTCTTTTGGCAATTTAAAGACACATGCACAGGGAGACAGAGAGAGAGACTTGAATTCTGCTGCTTTTGGTGTCTATATTTGAAATCTCGGTTCCTGGCAGAGAAAACTGAATCACTCCAGCATCCTTTTTTAATATCTACCAAGCGGATAGAACACACCCTTCATATAATGACCTCATTTGGCTTGTCTTGCGATGAATGTCTCTTTCGCCCACCACACTTCCCTTCTGGTCACTAGTTGGCTTTTGTTTAAATAGTTTGCTATTTACTCTGCATCAGACACCTGAGTCTGAATCTCCCGCGCCCCCCCCCCCACTCCCTTGTCCCCACAACTCTTACTTGGCAAAGCTCATGGAATTGTTTTCCAGTTCACACTGACACCGTTTTGTTCCATGACTGGAAATGGTTAGGGCAATTCATATAATCCTTCCTCTTACCAGTAAACTTACCCTCCTAACTTGCTATTTATTTCAGTTCAACTGCGAGCAATGGATCACACACGTCTGTGGCCAACATTTAACTCAATTATCATTTAATACAGCGCCCTTGTCTGTTCCCACTTTCCCAAAATGGGCTGTCTGAAGACGGCGCGGCCAGTTCACACACAGCCCTGCCGTTTTCGTATGCTAAGCACCCATAAAAAGAGGGTTTCAGCTTCCAACTGCCAGTTATCTAATAAAGACATTTTCTAATTTAACAGTTTCCTGTGTATCTGTGTTATGTTTTTTTTTCTGGGAACTGCAGGAATGGCAGCCAACCCTCTCAGTCATTTCCTGATTTCTTCCTTCTGGCCTGGATTAGTCCTGCCATGACCATCAGTTCTTAAATCCTTTCACAGCAGTAGCAAATAGCGGGGCTTCCCTTACTAACACACACACACACACACACACACATCCATCCAAACCCCACCCCCCACAAAACACACACACATTTGAAACACCACCATTGCTGCAGTCAAGAATAGGACATTGCCTGCTTCACGTTTTGCTCAGGTTATACAGATGTTAGAGACCTAGTGTTTTTGAAAAGTTAAAGCCAGAAATTGGGGGGTTTTTTTGGTTCATCTGGGGTGGTGGATGGATAAGCATACTCCCAATTCTGTCTTTTTCTCCCACCACCCTCCACACACTGTTTGATGTTCCCAGTAACAGCTTCCTTCTGGAACCCAGATGTTCTGAAGACCCATAGCGCAGTTCGGCTGTCAAAACTGAAAGATCACCTGAGATCTACTGAAAAACTGATGAGCCAAATTAGCACATGTGACAGTAAATGCATATTTGCAACATGCATGGATTAAAAATAATATAATAGTAATAAAAAGCAAACAGCATCAGCTGAGAAGGGTGATTATTCATGGAACTGAAAGGCAATTTAACCCTTTTCTTCTCTGCTGTCGTCCTAAGGTGAATCTCAAACTACTATTTGCTTTAAGGGGAAAAATCACACATTGGTGCATCTGAAGCAGAAATGGTTGATTGCCACATTCACCCACAGTCAACCCTCTGGGAATGGCCTATCAAAGTAGGTGTGGTTGAGATATAAAAGCAGCATCTGAGTATCACTGTTTTTTGCGGCCCTCCTAGCACCCTGCCCAACATATCCATTTGGGGGACGGGACTGAAGGCCACATGGACCCATGGCCACCAATCTCTGCTTAAAAACCACCTAGAAAGGAGAGTCCACCACCTATTGTGGGAGTCTCCTCCACAGCTCTTACTGTCAGAAAGTTCTTCTTGATGTTTAGTCAGAATCTCCTTTCTTGTAACCTGAAACTATTGGTTTGGGTCCTAGCCTAGAGAGTGGGAGAAAACAAGCTTGCTCCATCTTCCTTGTGACAGCTCTTTAGACATTAATTCCTCTTAAGAAGGAATTAAGATGATCGTGGAGCTACCACTGAAATCAGCCACCCTAACACTTTGTTCAGCTGATCAGTGTCCTGGTATCATTATGGTGCCTCCTTTTCCAACCAGGTCCTGGCATCACTGGGGTTGGGGGAACAGGAGTCTGGCTTTTTCAACAACCGTTCCTGGTCTCTTTAATGTGTAGCTCCACCCTTAACCAATGCTTGTTGCCATTCAAACACCTTGTTTCGGTGTGCCTTTCATCTGGATACAGCTGAGTGATGCCATGACATTTACTGCTCACTAGAGCAAATTTAGATGTTGGGGTGTGTTGCTATCGTGCATCAGACATATATGCCCTTGCACTGATTTATGGGTGAATAAAACGATTCTTATTGCTAGGCTATCTGCTTCCTTTGGTCCCTGCCAAGACACTATTTCAATTCTTCACTCCAAAATTCGAGAACATGAAAGCCCAGTTGCTCTTGGCGGCTAAAAGCCTCTGCTTACCAGCCAGCTACACCTTTTATGGATAATTTCTTGTGCTGCTTTTTCTCTCTCCCTCTCATAGTACTATAAGTATAGCAATTGTTGCCAGGAAAGGTTTCCAGCCCTATCCAACCACATGCTGGTTGGACTCAGTCCAGCTCAAGTTCTTTGGGAGAGGCTTTGTACACTCCCAAACTAATTTTTTTTAAAAGCATGCTAAATGTTCCTGCTCTGGAGATAGCAGAATCATAGAATTGTAGAAATGGAAGGGACCCCAAGGACCATCTCCTTCAACCCCTGCAATGCAGGAATATGTGGGGGATTGAACCTGCAACCTTGGCCAAACCAGGCTTTATATATATCTTGCAAACCTACAAACGTCGTCTGATCTTCACAAATACTTTTCAAATAATCCGTAAATTTACTCCAGTCTTCCGTGAATTTCTGGTCCCTCCGGTTTCAAATCCTTCCTGTTAGTTTATCTAGTTCTGCATAGTCCATTAACTTCATCCTCCATTTTTCAATCGTCGGTAATTCTTCTTGCTTCCATTTTTGGGCCAATAATATTCTTGCTGCTGTTATTGCATATAAAAAGAGCTTACGTTCCTTTCTATTTATATCACTCCCAACAATGCCCAGTAGAAATGCTTCTGGTTTCTTTACAAATGTATATTTCAGCATTTTTTTCATCTCATTATATATCATCTCCCTTTTTACATTCCCACCAGGCTAATGGCTTGACCACAGGGGTCCCCTGTTCAGCATTAATCTCCAACCAAGCACCCATGTTCTGTGGTGCATGAAGCCGCCTTACACTAAAACAGACTGTTGGTACATCTAACCCAAGGTCCCCTCCAGATGTTTTTGGACCACCGTTGTCATCAGTCCCTGCCAGCATGGCCGATGGTCAGGGATGGTGGGAAATGCATCTCAACAACTTCTAGAGGGTACCACCTTGGCTATCTCTGACCTACCCTAATATCCTCAGCTCAGAGGGCCAATCTAAATATTATACAAAGAAGCATGTGAACAGATTGTTGCTGTTTTCAGGTAAGGTTCGATGACATGCCAGCAAATTCAGGTTGTGTAGTTACAGTTAACTGGGAGGTCTCCTGCAACAAACCCACTTCTCCCAAATTTCTAGCTTTTGGTGATAAATGGCTGGAAAACATGGAATAATAGTTGATTTGATAACATCAGCTAACCTCCACATAGACAAATCAGAATGAATGCTCATTAAATAGCCAATGCCATCAAAAACCTTACTGCAAAAAAATAAAAGGTGAATGCTCAGTAAACTGCTTGGAAGTGCCCATTCTTGAGAGGCATCTAGCTTTGTCCTGTCTAGTAATTTGTTCTTCATGATCTCAGGCATGAGTGTTTCCTAGATCGGCTATCCAAGACTAAAGATGAAAGCCATGTATTCTGCTACTGAGATGTGTTTTCAGTAGTAGAGTCCATAGATACACAGGTTCAGGTATGCTCATGCAGACCAAAGATATATGATTAGAGAGTGGAGAATCCTATTTCTTTCTCTCATTTCCTCCATTCTCTCATTTAGCTTGCCCAATGCACTGAGTCATCCGTAGGAAGGAGCAAGTTTGGCTGTGTTTGGTACAGATGTAAATGTGGGACACATGGGGCTACCATGTTCTCAGAGGATCTTCCAGTTATGCTTCCTTGCAGATGTCTTATCTCCTCTCCTACTCCTCTCGTCACCATTTGCCAAGCTGCTGTTGCTGTGAAACCATCATTCCAGTGGTGTGAGCCTTCCACAAGAGCATCAGTAAGATAAACAGATGGTGTCCAAGAACAGTGCAAATATCATTTTCATGAGCAGTAAGGCTTTGTAATAAAGCTAGCCAGGGTCGAACAAAGCATCTTCCAACAGTTAATTAGTATTATGATTTACTGAAAAGTAGTAAATCATTAAATTAGTTTCTGCTCTTGTAAATATGAACAACTGACAAGGAGAAATGTATGTGCCTGTTAAGTCCCAATGAAATAAACAGAATGTAAATACTTGTAATGTTGTGCTGGACTGCAACTGCAGGACGCAATCCATCTGCAATTACTATATGATGTATTTCACACTGTATGCCCTTTTATTGGACTGAAAGCTTCATGGGACCAATCCACAGGACTTGATCTGGAAATATCGTGCAACTTCACAGGATCTTGTAGGGCAGGAGTAGGGAACCAGTAGCCCTCCAGATGTTAAAGCTATAGTTTTCCCAGTAGTGATGTATGGAAGTGAGAGCTGGACCATAAAGAAGGCTGATCGCCAAATAATTGATGCTTTTGAATTATGGTGCTGGAGGAGACTCTTGAGAGTCCCATGGACTGCAAGAAGATCAAAGCGATCCATTCTTAAGGAAATCAGCCCTGAGTGCTCACTGGAAGGAGATCCTGAAGCTGAGACTCCAGTACTTTGGCCACCTCATGAGAAGAGAAGACTCCCTGGAAAAGACCCTGATGGAGGGCACAAGGAGAAGGGGACGAGAGAGGATGAGAAGGTTGGATAGTGTTCTCGAAGCTACCAGCATGAGTTTGACCAAACTGCGGGAGGCAGTGAAAGACAGGAGTGCCTGGCATGCTCTGGTCCATGGGGTCACGAAGAGTCGGACACGACTAAACAACAACAACAGCCCTCCAGATACTGCTGGACTACAACTTCCATCATCCAGGACTGATGGGAGTTGGAGTCCAGCAATCCTTGCTGTAGCAGTAGTGTGAGGGAGGACACATTTACCACCACTCCTCCAGCCATGGTTTCCTATGTTTGCTGCAAATGGGTGCAGGTAAGCCTTCCACCTTTTTGTAAAAGAAAAGTCAAATTTCTGTCTACCGTGGAAAAACAGAGGCAGCCCTGGATGTATGCTCAGCCAGTTCACAGTTGCATGCCTATCATTTGCTGAGTGGGGCATCAAGGGTTGACTTGCATGTGTGAATGGCCTATGGCAGCTCAAACACCACAGGGAGAACGCTCAGATCATCCCATATCAGATCACTGCTTTACACTGGTGGTTGTTCACACATTCAGTAGCTGCAAAGACAGAAAGCAAGCAATGTGCATGCATGTGTGAACTCACCCAATGTCTTTAGCCCTGGGCTAAAAGGCCCTGTCTTCCTGTAAGATCAGTGCAGAAAGAATGGGGCACACCAGAATAACTCCCAACAGCCTGCCAGAAAAAAAATCCAGGCTGTGAACTAAAGGGAAGGTGTTTTATTCTTAGAAGAGGATGCGAACAGCAAGAAGAAAATGCTAATTTAAAGCTGCAAATAAAAAGATAACGAATTATAATCCTCCTTTTTAGCCAGATCAGTTCGTGTTTCTTATAATTCATCATCTTTGTTCCACCCCACAAATCATTTCACGGAAGTCACTCTTAGACACATGGCTTTGCTGATTTAGAAAAAAGTTATTATGAAGAAAGTCTTGGCCAACTGGGGGTCTGTCCTTCAGGTTACTCTGCATTCCTTGACTCCGGACAGCAATTTGTTTTAATTTGATTGTTCCTATGAAGGTTGTGCAGTGTAAAGGCTGACTTTAACAGATTGCTTTTGATTTATTGTTACTTGCAGCATGTCTTTTTTATAACTACCATCCACGCTCAGTTGAATGCTTTGAGCTTTTGGGAAACTTTTTGGGGGTAGTGTGTGCGAGTCAGAGGCAATGGGAGATATGTGAAACAGCGTTTAGAGATGTGTGAAATACTTCTCCCTACAAACTTTTAATTTTACCAAAAATATTTTGACTTCCCTTTAAATTCCCAGGGACATTATCTCTGAAGTGTATGCAGTATCTAATTTTCCTTTGCAGTAGCAACTCTCATATTCACTATCAGAAATAAATATCAATATCAATGTCACTTGATAAGGAAAATTAGGCCAAGCATATTTCCTAAATCAAGAAGATGCACCCAGCTTGTTTTCTACGCTGCCAACTGTACTGTACACCCTTTTACAGAAGAGATAATCAATTACAGCCATTTAAAGTCTGTGATAAATATGCTGATTGATTCATCATACCAATCCACCAATTAATGCTTTTAGCACTAATAAAATTGTTAACGGATAATTGGGAAAGAGTCCTTTACCCAGCAGAATGCGCTTTGCAATAAATTCTTCCCACCAATAAATCAGTCCTTTTATTTAAATTTATATCCCACCCTGTCCCATAGGCTTAATGTGGTTTAGAACATTTTAAAGTGAAAAACGACAGATAGAGTATAAATATGCACATAAATATATACTAAACCTGGGTTTGTCAACTCGCAGCCTCTATCTCTTAAATCTATAACCCTGTGTGATTTGTAAATTTAGACGCAGTACCAATTTGTAAATGTTATCAACCCTGGTTGCAGATTTTTTAAAAAGCATTTCCACAGCCGTTTTAAAGCAAAGTATGACACCAGACATGTAGACCAAGAAAGCAGTTGTGGATAGAAATTTCCTTCTGCACTGCGCTTGGAAATGCACACTTTGGAACAAACTATCTTAGTTTATTAATATCGGCTGTCAACGTGGAGAGGAGTAAACCCACATGCACAAACAAGAACCACTCACTGCATGGAATTAAGTGAAATCATTTTGCAATGGCTGTGCCACATCAAAACAAGCGTGAGATTTGGGCCTGGTAATCCCCATTTTACAGATGAAGAATTGAGGCTGGGCAACATGGTCCATGTGAGTTCATGACTGACCAACGATTAGTACCCAACATTCCGAGGTCTAAGTCCAGCCTTCCCAATATCGTCATCATCATCATCATCATCATCATCATCATCATCATCATCATCACCTATTGAATTCATATACTGCCCTATACCTAGAGGTCTCAGGGCGATTCACAGAACAAAATCAGAATATAAAACCACAAAATATATAATCAAAATAAAAACAACAACCCCACTGGCTTATGCTGGCTTGAGATTACAAATACAATGGCCCAAATGGTTCGGAAAGGTGTTTAACTTCTAACACATCACCTACTTAAGCCCTAAATGGCCTCGGTCCAGTATACCTGAAGGAGCGTCTCCACCCCCATTGTTCTGCCCGGACACTGAGGTCCAGTGCCAAGGGCCTTCTGGCGGTTCCCTCACTGCGAGAAGCCAAGTTACGGGAACCAGGTAGAGGGCCTTCTCGGTAGTGGCACCCGCCCTGTGGAACGCCCTCCCATCAGATGTTAAAGAGAAAAACAACTACTTGACATTTAGAAGACATCTGAAGGCAGCCCTGTTTAGGGAAGCTTCTAATGTTTAATAGGTTATTGTATTTTAGTGTTCTGTTGGAAGCCGCCCAGAGTGGCTGGGGAAACCCAGCCAGATGGGCGGGGTATGTATAAATAAATAAATAAATAAATAAATAAATAAAATCATTATTATTAATTGCATGCCAGAAAAACTAGAACATATATTTTAAAATATAATCACGTGAATATAAGTATAAAAACATTGCTCTGCATTACCTAGGAAGAGCCCCACCATTGTTAAGAGAACGAAGGGCCAAGTCCCTATTCAAATCTGGTCCTAACAATCAAGCCAAGGCGAATGTTGATGGAGTGAGAGTGACACTTACGAAGGTCACAGCGGATTCCGTAGTAACCTGGCAGGCAGCCACACTTGCCGGTGACATGATGGCACTCTTCATTCTTTCCAGAGCACTGACATACTTGGTTACAGTTCTCCCCATATGTGCCTGGCAGACAAGCTGAGGGAAGAGGAAATGTAAACCGATGAATTACATTTGTCTTGGTAAACACAGTGCTCAAACAAAGAGCCGGGTAGAATTTATTCAATAAGACCGCTGCCTGCAGAAGAATGCTGCCCTCTGGGACTTTGGGTTTATTACGTTTGCTTGGGGATTACTTTGTGGTTTGATTTTGTTTTGCTCAGTCAATTTGTGCCCAACTGTCATGGGCCAGTTGCAATTTTCTTGTCACTTAGAGAAAGTCATAGGTTGATGTCAAGGAAAATCGACTAAAATAATAAAACTCAGGAGAGTCTCCCAAATATGCGTGGTGACTCTCTCACCCACAGATGCCTTAAAGCTTCAAGTCAGCTTCAAATACTTATGCTGTTTCTTTCCTGGTTCTCTCTCTCTCTGCCCTGGCGTGGAGCTCATGCTAAAAGTCTGCGGTTTATGCTACGTGAGCTATTCTCCACCACAAATACAAGTGTATGTTTAAATTGTGTGTTTCCAGTGACATGTCATGGGAAAGCATCCAAGTTACTTAGGGGCTGGTTCACACATGCAAGGACACTTGATCATGTCACATGACAACTCACATAGAATGATAGAATTGTAGAGTTGGAAGGGACCACGACGGTCATCTAGTCCAACCCCTGCAATACAGGAATATTTTTGCCCAATGTGGGGCTTGAACCTGCAGCCCTGAGATTAAGAGTCTCATGTTCTACCAGCTGAGTTATCCCAGGCGGTTAAACCAATTGATGTTAAACCAATCCATTAACATGAATTGGTTAAAGTTAACATTGAAACTAATTGCATAGCATTTTTGAAGTGATGTGAAAGTGTTATCTCTGATGGCCCATTCACACATTAGAGCCATCACTTCATGGATCTGTTGGCAAATGATGAATGGGCCTGTATGAACCGGCCTCAAGTGTGGTGGGAGAAATCAATGCTCCATTTCTGCACCTGCTAGGACATTGGAGGAAATTGTGTGTACCAAACACTATAGACCTTCAAAGCAAGAACTGCACATGCGAAGCACCCTTTGGGTTCAAGGAGTCAAAATCTCAGTAAGGTCCAGTTTGAACGTAATGGGAATCCATAGGTTCCTGCTCTGTGTCCTGGGTTTATGGGCTACCTTTCTTTCTCCTTTGCAGCTCTCTCCCTAGCCTTTTCAAATTAGCCACTCTGAGATTCTTGTTGGTGTGCCTTCCTAGTATTTTTTGCGCTGTAATAACTCACTTGGTAGAACATGAGACTCTTCATCTCAGGGTTTGAGCCCCACATTGCGCAAAAGATTCCTGCATTGCAGGGGATGGACTAGATGGCTCTCGTGGTCCCTTCCAACTCTACAGTTATATCATTATGCTAGATACTCTATTTCTGTGCTCCACTTTCCATGCCGGTTCATTGTTTTCTTGTGCTGTATTTTGTATTTGCATATCTTATTGTCAGGTAGGGGTTGGTTTTTATTGTAAGCTGCTTTATGCCAGAAGTTCCTCAAAATTTATAAATAAGGGATACATCTGAGGTATAGATTTTAAAATTAATTAAATGAACCACCTTGTTTTAAATTAATTAAATGAACCACATACTGTTCATTCTTCACTTCTTTCACTGTGGAACTCCCTGCCCACTGACACGAGGCAGGTGCCTTTACTGTGTTGTTTTCAGTGCCTGCTAAAAGCTTGTTTGTCTAGGCAAGCCTACCCAGATACGGAAAACTGATATGTGTTTTTAACATTTCACTTTCTTGATGCATATTTATAACCTCTTCTCATGTCAGCTTGTTTTTAACTCTGACTTCTCTCCAGAGTTTTAATGTAAGTTTTATTTTATGTTAACTGCCTAGAGAGCTTTATACAATTAAGAAGTATACAGATTCTGGTGATGAACGAATGAATGAACAAATGAATGAATGAATAATCTTATTCCTTCATGACAAAACACACACACACACATTAGGGGACTTACTTCTTTTGCAGCCACTGCCCACAAAACCTGGAGGGCAGCCACACTCCCCGCTCACGTGGTTGCAAGGGACACCTGGAGGGCATTTGCAGCGCTCAGTACAATTGCTGCCATAGTAGCCAGGCAGGCAAGCTGGAGAAAAAAAAAGCAAAGCCATCTCTGCTAGAAGTCTGAATATACTTCTAAGTGCTGTGACCCATCCTCTCCCTACGGCTCCAAATGGCCCTCTTGCTGTTCCCTAGAATTCTCCCCTCCACATGCCATTGTTTAACCCCTATTGTTGTCTGCAGTGTTATCCAGCAGCTTGTGCTCAGGATAAACAAGTCGAGTGAGCCATGCACAAGCCAAGAAACCACTGTGGGCAGAGAGGCAGAGAGAGAGAAAAACAATAGCCCAAATGAGCATGTTTTGACTAGGCTCCCCAGCTTTCATTTATTGGAAAACTATGGACAACTTCAGGGACGCGGGTGGCGCTGTGGGTTAAACCACAGAGCCTAGGACATGCCGATCAGAAGGTCGGTGGTTCAAATCCCCGTGACGGGGTGAGCTCCCGTTGCTCGGTCCCTGCTCCTGCCAACCTAGCAGTTCGAAAGCATGTCAAAGTGCAAGTAGATAAATAGGTACCGCTCCAGCGGGAAGGTAAACGCCGTTTCCGTGCGCTGCTCTGGTTTGCCAGAAGCAGCTTAGTCATGCTGGCCACATGACCCAGAAGCTGTACGCCGGCTCCCTTGGCCAATAAAGTGAGATGAGCGCTGCAACCCCAGTGTCGGTCACGACTGGACCTAATGGTCGGGGTCCCTTTACCTTTATGGACAACTTCAGGTCAGTGGGATTTAAGATGTCACAGAGCAAAAGAGAGCTTAATGGGAACTTACGCTTGTCACACTGTTCTCCTCTCCAGCCCATTTCACAGTGACACACTCCAGTCTGGGGGTTGCAGGAGGAGCTGTGCTCACAGTCACACAGCCCTTCACACCTCTCCCCAAAGGAACCATTTGGACAAGCTGAGGATAAATTGTGAAACACATGCAAAATCAATACATTCTCTCCCAGAGGGCAGGGAGGTTGAATAATTTGAGCGCAACCACCACCACCTCAAGAAATAGTCAATATTTATCAATAGGGACATCTCAAAATTATGAGTGCCACGCTGAAGGTCAGGATTTGTAATCTGAAAGGTGTGGCATAGAGTTAAACCCTGTAAAGCAAAATTCTAGAATGTTTTATCTATATTATGAGTGTCCAACCACACAATTGAGGCCTACACATGCTGCACATCCTCTCTGGATATTTTTCATAACTCAGGAGTCTCTAAAGTTTCACATGCGAGTCCTATTCAGAGTAGACCCCCTGAAATTAATGGACCTGGCTTAATTTCAAAGGGTCTACTCTGAGTAGGGCTACAACCTTATGAATTTAGACACATCAGTTTGCTAATATACGAAACAAGCTGGACTTAGGAGAATTCCACAGTGTCATCTGTGACCATTTATATACAAATTTTGTGTAGTTTAAAAATGAAATAAAATCACACATAAATGAGATGGAACAGACTTTTGGATGAACACATGTGAATAATAATAATAATAATAATAATAATAATAATAATAATAATAATTTGTTATTTATAACCCGCTCATCTGGTTGGGTTTGCCCAGCCACTCTGGGTGGATATCCAACAGAATATTAATATTAATAATAATATTAATAAAGTGATAAAACATCAAACATTAAAAACTTCCCTAAACAGGGCTGCCTTCAGATGTCTTCTAAAAGTCAGACAGTTGTTTATTTCCTTGACATCTGATGGGACGCCATTCCACAGGCGGGTGCCACTACTGAGAAGGCCCTCTGCCTGGTTCCCTGTAACCTCACTTCTCGCAGGGAAGGAACCGCCAGAAGGCCCTCAGAGCTGGACCTCAGTGTGAAAGTGAAATGGGAAAGTGGCACTGACCAGAAACTGAGTGATCTGTCCACCCCTAGTTTCTGTAAAGTATTTGGCCTATTTGTGAGCTATTCCAAGATTTAGGACAGAGGTGGAAACCAAAGTCACACTGTCTACCATCAAGCATAATAGACAACGGGGTCCTTGACTTCAGTTTTCACCTGAAGAGAAAGAGAGCAGGTGTGTATGTAAAGGAAGCTACTGAGATGATAGGTTTTGAAGGAGGAGAAAGAAGCCATACCTTGAAAGGGGGAAAAGGAAGACAGGAGTCCCCATACCTGAAAGGACGGCAAAGAATCAGAGAACGCAGATCGAGTTTTTGCATTTGATTCAGTCAGCAAAATAATACACAAACAGAGAAATCCAAAACTGGCTTATGGTGGGCTATAGGTCCACTGGGAGTATATGCTATTGGGAACCCACAGAAAACCCCAAAACAGGGCCCTCCAAGGCAGGGAGTGAGCAAAACGGAGCTGGCCCAGGAACCACTGGATCCTGAACCAGGTTCTCTGCTTTCGTGTAATGGCATCAGACCAAGTCGCCGTGCTCCTTACCTTCCACTGCAGCCACTGTTGTTGCCCACCACCAGAGGGCGCTCATTTAGATTGCACCCTAAGACGGAAACCCTGAAACCATTCATTTAGGCCAGGCATAGGCAAACTCGGCCCTCCAGATGTTTTGGAACTACAACTCCCATCATCCCTAGCTAACGGGACCATTGGCCAGGGATGATGGGAGCTGTAGTCCCAAAATATCTGGAGGGTCGAGTTTGCCTATGCCTGATTTAGGCCTTTTTACTGAAGTCCCATTAAACACCAGAGCAAATGCTCCAGTGTAACGGATATCATTACTGCAGCTTTAGAGCTCCTATCTTTTGGCTTGATGCGGGACCAAGAGTTATGTGGGAGAGTGCAAAGGCACATAACTGCAAGATGTAGCGAGTGCAGAAATGGCACATAATCACAAATGGATATAGCAACACAAATATTTCCGATTATCACAGGGGCCTTTTATAAAGTTAAAAGAACTGTGATCCTTACGAGTATCACAATGGTCCCCAATCCAGCCTGGACGACAAGTGCATTTCCCAGAACGATGATCACAAATTCCACCATTGCTACAGCTGCAGCTCTGCTGACACCTTTCTCCATACTTCCCTGCTTCACACTCTGCAGTGAAAGAGAACAGACTTTCACTAGTTTATGAATGAAACTGTCCAGCCTGAAAAGAACTCAGTCTTGGCAGCTGACCTTCAGCTCTGCTTAGAGCAAGTTTAACCAATGTAGGTTTATTGCTAGTGTACCGTTACTCACTCAAGCCCTTTGGGGACGAGCCATTATATGAACCGAAATGAATATGGAAGCAATATTGACAATATTTTCTCAAATTTACCCAGTTCACAGGCTATTCCGGTCCAACCTTTGGGGCATAGGCACTCTCCAGTCGCGGGATCACAAGTAGCCTGGTTTTGACAGATGCAGTGCTGCAGGCAGTCCTTACCATACAGACCCAGAGGGCAGGCTGTGGACAAGAATATATTTTAGCTTAGCATGAAAGGACCATCACTAAAATTATGCATAGGAGTCATTTTAAAAAATGAGGATGAAGCATGTTCTGCATTTGACTGTTGCAAAGGATGCTTTTCGTACCTCCTGGGTTCAAGAGTGCCATTAAGGGAGACCAGATTAGTGAGCTGCCCTTGCTCACTATTATTCCTCAGGAATTTCTTGTTATTGAGGCATGAAAAGCAGCCACAACAGCAAATGCTCTTAAAACTGTGTGGTTTGAGAATTTTGCAACAACAACAACAAACTCACACTATTATCTATTTAAAACCTGCTCACATAGAGAAGCTATCTATACCTCTCCTTATTTCTGAATGGATGATGATGATGAATGTAATTTATTGACTTCTCTTCACCCCAAGGTCCCAGGGTGGGTTACAACAATTTAAAATACATTTGGGATGGGAAGGTGAGAATGCAATCCTGGCATCCAATGAAATGTGGGATATGGGAGGTGGGGAAATGTTCCGTGTAAAAAGTTGTAACATGACCGTATCAAAAGATAATTGAGTTAAACTAATATAATTTAGTGTCGTTGGGCTGATGCTGCTGTCTTTTCTCCTGTTAACAGGGACAATGATGGCATGGGGCATGCCTCTACCATTTTGTCTGGCCTCTTTTCCTGCTCTTTTGGACGTGGCAGACATTTTGCATTATGCCACACCCCTATGACGGCCAATTTGTGCTCGTAACACACTCTCAAAATTCCAGATGTTCCCACTAGCCCAGAAAGGTTGGTGACTTCTGATCCAATGTAAAAGGGTCCCAGTCAGATTGCTGACTGACATGTGAATCTCCTACCTGCAGGCGGTGTTTTTATGCATTAAAAAATGGCATCCCTACCTGCTGTCACAAGTGGTACAATCTATTTTACTACCTTAAGTCTCTACCATCTCATTGGGGTCGTGGATGGTGCTTTGGTCTAAACCACGGAGCCTCTTGGGCTTGCCGATTGGAAGGTGGGTGGTTCGAATCTGTGCGATGGGGTGAGTTCCCGCTGCTCTGCCCCAGTTCCTGCCAACCTGGCAGTTCAAAAGCACACCAGTGCAAGTAGATAAATAGGTACCACTGCGGCAGGAAGGTAAACAGCATTTCTGTGCGCTCTGGCTTCTGTCACAATGTTCCGTTGCACCAGAAGCGGTTTAGTCATGCTGGCCATGTGACCCGGAAGGCTGTCTGTGGACAAACGCCAGCTCCCTCGGCCTGAAAATGAGATGAGCACCAGACCCCATAGTCGCCTGTGACTGGACTTAACCGTCAAGGGGTCCTTTGCCTTTTTTACCTTTCCACCTCATTCTACTGCATATGAAGACCAGACCTTTGTTTCATTGCCACCTTGATCTACTGTTTGGCCAAACCAGGCCCAAACTTAAATCCACAATGTACCTTCCTGACAGACCGGTCCTCTCCATCCAGCTGTGCATATGCATGCCCCAGTGATGTGGTCACAGAGTGCTGCGTTCTTACAATTGCAGCGCTGACGACAGCTTTGTCCGTAAGTGTTAATGTGACAAGCTGGAGAGAGGGAAAGAGAGAAAACGAACCATAAAGCCCAATCACGAGACATCAAAGGACACATCAAATTCATTTGGAACTCAATTCAAGGAAAATAAAGCGAGGGAACTGATTCAGGATGGGCGATACTTTCAAGTCACGCACATGTGTTTGTATATTCATTGCGACTGACAAACAGACCCGCAAATATGTATCATCATAACACAGTTTGAATGGTGGTTTTTTTTCTTTTCTTAGAAAGTAACAATTGGAATCATTTGCGTGATAGATCAGCTGTCTTCTTCCAACAGAATGTCTGGGTATAAAACAAACTGCCACAGCCAGTCTGACGGGCTGTTTGTTTGGAAACTCTTCTGCAAAGCCAGGCTTTTACTTTATTGCTGTTGGCAGGATCACTGTAATACCAAATGAGGCTGATATGGTATCAGGCCCCTCTCAAAGGGATGAAGCAAAGGTGATATGGTCAAGTCTTGGGTTCCTGCTCTGCACAAATAAAAAAAATGTGCAAATACAGCACCAACTCCTCTCAAAAAACAAACTATGCACACGTTTGCACCAAGTGTCCAAAGGAACATTTCGTGTGAAAATGCATAATTCACATGCTTTATTCTGATTTCCCATTGCAGATTTTGCCATCTTTGTTTGAAAGGTGGGCATGGAGGTACCAGTAGCAGTTCAGTATTCTTTTGTCTCTTCTTTTTTATCACCACAGCTCAGAGCAGGAAGAAAAAGTCTGATCTGCTAGAATGCGGAGAGCTGTTTTATCCAGAGTCAGACCTGTGGCCTAATGCATGGAAAGAGAGGTGGGTTTACTGGACCTTTGGTCTGATACAACATTGCAATCCTACATTTTCTCCCTCATACATGACTCTGTGTGGCTCTACGTATGCAGATATATAGCACCTGGTGCTCATGTTTAAACTTAACATGTGTTGCCAGCTACCACAAGGTAAAGGTGGCATCCATTCCTGCTGTAAGCCTGATAGTACCGTACACACATCTGCAACCATTTCAAAAATGTGCATAATGGGAGCATGATACAAATTTGCACCACGTGATTGGGCACTGTGAGCAAATATAAAGCTGCCTTACACAATACACAATGTGTATTAAACTACTGTGTGGTTGCATGTACCCCATGGTAGGTAAAAAGGTAAAGGTAAAGGACCCCTGGACGGCTAAGTGATTAAGTCTAGTCAAAGGCGACCATGGGGTTGCGGTGCTCATCTCGCTTTCAGGCTGAGGGAGCCGGTGTTTGTCCATAGACAGCTTTCTGGGTCATGTGGCCAGCATGACTAAACCACTTCTGGCGCAACAGAACACCATGACGGAAGCCAGAGAGCACGGAAATGCTGTTTACCTTCCTGCCACAGCAGGATCTATTTATCTACTTGCACTGGTGCGCTTTTGAACTGCTAAGTTGGCAGGAGCCGGGACAGAGCAATGGGAGCTCACTCCGTTGCAGGGATTCAAACTGCCAGCCTTCCAATTGGCAAGCCCAAGAGGCTCAGAGGTTTAGACCACAGCGCCACCTGCATCCCCTCCCATGGTAGGACAATAAGCAATCACTGTATGTAAACAACTGATGACACCCATGTGAATGGGTCTGAAAATGGGGAGGATTCCTCCTGCTTTCATTGACCTCGTATTTTTCTCCTTGGGTCAATGGCTTGGGGCTGTTAGAGAAAAAAAGACAGACGCAGCAATTGTCTGAGGTCACAAATCTATGACTGGGGTAGAGATCCTGAACGTTCCTGACTTCTATTTAAGGTTTTCCTTTCTATATTTTTCTGGCTTATGTCCCTGCTCTGCAGCATGGGATGTAGGATGCTGGCTTGAGCCATCTGTTCTTTCTCTTCCACATCCTCTGGGCATGCTGGCAGGTGAACTTCCTGCTGGCCATGTCCCAACCCAGCAAGGCCTGCCATGACAGATGCAGAACTTCTGGTACTTTAGACAGCTGAACAAATGCCTTTGGGTGCCCTCTAGAGTACTAGACAAGAACAGCTGGTTCTGCCAAAGGGATGTGCAAGAAAACCTATCTTCATTGTGTTGCACTGAGCCATCACTGACTCGCTTTGATCCAAGGCTGCTGGCCAGAGTTCAGCTCTGGAACCTATTGAAATGCTGGTCCTCAACTGCGGAACATCATTGTCACTCTAACTAATGATGAATTCACTCTCAGGGTGCCAACAGCACAGTAACCAAGGGCACCTAGCTGGAAGAGGGAGGTATCAGCGCCCTCAATGTAACTCGTAAGTTTGCAGAAGTACAAAAAGTTGTTAAAAATCAGGACCCAAAATAGCGCAATAAAGATTGGGCATGCTTAGTAGGCACAAAACACAGCAACTGACATTTCACACATGCACACATACTCTGAGAAAAGTGTTTTAGTGCTAATTTTAAAAAAACACTGATTAAAACACGCACATGCACATACCCCTTTTCCAGTTAATGCCCGTTTAGAAATAAATGATGTCATTGCAAAGGGCTTTTCCTCCATCGTTTCATTCAAAGCATCATTGTGGTATTTTGTATTGAATGCAACACACTTGTATTTAAGCAGTATTTCATTTATTTGTTTTATGTAAGAATTATGGTGTTTTAATGCAGATTAAAGGATGGATAGGTATAAAAAATTAAACAGGAAAATAAAATTATGCACACGGTAAAGGTCACTGCGTGCTGAATTGGAAAAAACCCACCTGCCTGATTGTCAATACACAGATTGTTTGAAAAGGCAGAACAATAGCAGCATGGGCAACCAGACCTATAGAGTTTGTGCTATTCTTCCATTCTGCAAATGGATGACTGGCAATAGGGTGTTTTGTCTTGTCTGGTCTTTTTTTTAAAAAAAACAGCTTTATGGCTGGGGTGGGTAAAACTGGATTAAAAAGGGGTAAGGAAAAAAACCAGGGCATTTTTACTTTTATTATTTATTACCTTTGTATACCACACTTCTTCCATAGATCTCAGGGTGGTTCACATACGTTTTATTGCATGTGTTAAGAGCACAAAATGTGTCTGGAAGCACTATAAGAGGCCAGGTAAAACAGGGAGGTCTCAGCACCTATCTTTCAGAAATTAATCACTTATTAGTGGTGAAATATGGTCTGAAGCTCAACATCAAAAAAACGAAGATCATGGCCACTGGTCCCATCACCTCCTGGCAAATAGAAGGGGAAGAAATGGAGGCAGTGAGAGATTTTACTTTCTTGGGCTCCATGATCACTACAGATGGTGACAGCAGTCAGGAAATTAAAAGACGCCTGCTTCTTGGGAGAAAAGCAATTGCAAACCTAGACAGCATCTTAAAAAGCAGAGACATCACCTTGCCAACAAAGGTCCGTATAGTTAAAGCCATGGTTTTCCCAGTAGTGATGTATGGAAGTGAGAGCTGGATCATAAAGAAGGCTGATCGCCGAAGAATTGATGCTTTTGGATTATGGTGCTGGAGGAGACTCTTGAGAGTCCCATGGACTGCAAGAAGATCAAACCGATCCATTCTGAAGGCAATCAGCCCTGAGTGCTCACTGGAAGGACAGATCATGAAGCTGAGGCTCCAGTACTTTGGCCACCTCATGAGAAGAGAAGACTCCCTGGAAAAGACCCTGATGTTGGGAAAGATGGAGGGCACAAGGAGAAGGGGACGACAGAGGACGAGATGGTTGGACAGTGTTCTTGAAGCTACCAACATGAGTGACTAAACTGCAGGAGGCAGTGGAACACAGGAGTGCCTGGCGTCCTCTTGTCCATGGGGTCACAGTCGGACACGGCTAAACCGCTAAACAACAAGAACATTAGTGGTGAAGCAAAGGCCAGGTGTGGATATTTAAGACAGAGCAGAACCAGATGTTAGAAGGGTGATGCAGGTGATGTCAAATACAGCAGCCCCCTCTATCCTGCTCCCCCTCCTCTGGTACCTCCTAGTAACGCAAAATGCAACATCACAGCATCCCATCCCCAGCAAGCTGCTGCCCAAGGACATGAAACTGCAGGGAACAGAGTACAACCCCAGAGCCTGGTCATATCATGCTACGTGTTGAAGAAATGCTATGGGGAAAAGGAGAGGAGGATATATGTTCTTAAAACATCTAACCCGGCCTCAGATACAAGCATTAGTGACTTCTATTGTCCTGAAAGCTGAATCAGCCATTTTCGCGCCTTCTGAATTCTTCAGTCCAAGTAAGCCCTGGCTATGTGTGAAGCTCATCAATGTTGCAGCCGTTTGCCTCGGTGCTTCAGACTCGCCCTGCAGGTGCTGGTGCCCTCTGCCTGCTAACCGAGCAAAAGGGGCTCGTTTGTTTTATTCCCGCTTGTTGGCAAGTTCTCAGCAGATGGGTTGCATCCTCCCTTATCAATAATTTTGAAAAGCTTTTTCATTCACGCCGAGCAGCCTCCCTAAGCCAGCGGCTTTTAATAGCATTAAGTCTTAGAGCAAATCAATTTCTGTCTCAATTATGCGCCAGTCTTGCGCTCCCCTCCAAACCTTTTACTTCTCTCTTAGGAGAAGATCTCTCCATCACCCGGCACCACGAGGCCTGCATATAAATACGATGTTGTCGTGCGCTGCCAGAGGACCTGGAAGCGAGCCATCACCCGACCGCTTTAATAGCAACCTTTGGAAGAAACCAGCAGTGTCACCCGTGTATTACAAGGCATTACTGGCCAGTCTTTAAATCAAAGCGATGATTCATTGTTTAGCTAAGAGGCAAAGGGGGCTACCTTCTTTGCATTGTTGTTTGACCTTATCCCTTTAACTCGGAGGCAAACGAAGTTGCAAAGACTGTGGCACCTTAACTAGTGCACAAAATAAATCAAAGGTGGTGCAGAAAGCTTTAATGGTCCCATCACGCAAGGACAAATAGTGGCTTTTGGATACGAGTACAGTACACTTTGGTGGGAAGATGAAGGAGACAGGCATGGCTTAAGATGAAGGGTTTTGTTTCTTAATTAAACTTAATATGTAGAAACAAAGCTTGCAGGGCCTTTTAAAAAAAAGAAAATGAAATAAATCGTCCAGAAACATCAGTCAAAGACTAAGCTGATTGATTGCTAACTTCACAAATGTTTGGAAAGTCACAGCAAATGGTCTGTGACTGAAGAAAAGTTATCACCGTTCTGATTTGGTAACAGCCTGGGCTCTTATACGAGGTAACACAATAGGCCCATATTTCACGAAGCCTAGAGGGCAGCTACAGAGGTGAAGAACCTTCCTCTTGAGTAGCTCTGCTAACAAATGATGAGAGTAAAATGTCCACTGAGCAACTGCAGAATGTGGTGTGCTGTAGTGAGCTTTCAAGTCGAACGGTTTTTAAAAGCGAGGTTCCGGCCCTCACCACCAAGGAAGAAAACCTGACAACGTTCTTAAGTGTTTGTTACCTGCTGGAGGCTTGGAAACAAGGCCACATAATGGCTTCTGTTACATGGAGAATGCGGAGAAAGAATTTGTGCTCTGCACTCTACAAAGCTGGCTTCAGTTTTTTGGGAGCCCTTGGACACCTTCGCCTAGGGAAGGTGCTGTTACTCTTTCTTGGGGCACGTGGTGTAGAGATGGCCAATTTGGGGCAAGAGGTTCACTGACTTAAAGAGCTTGCTGGTCTCCTGACCCTTCATGTTAAAGCTTATGTAGCACATTTATTTGTGTACATCTTGGAGAAGTCAGGGGCAAATTTATTTATTTATTTAATTTATATTCCCACCCTTCTGCTTGAAGGAGCCCAGGGTGGCCTCAATAATGCCTTCATACTCATTGATGATGTCTTAAATGGGGCTTGCACCAGGGAGGAACCAAGATGGCGGCACTGATTCCAAGTAGTTGGGCTCTGGCAACTTCCCTACATGACTAAAAAGATTCCCGCATTGCAAGGTGTTGGACTCGATGACCCTCGTGGTCCCTTTCCAACCCTCCAATTATATGATGCTAAGACCTGATGTTATATATGATGTCAGATGTGGGTCAGGAAAAGGCAGGGTTTGGAAGGAAGGGGCTTTGCAGGCATCACTGATCAGTTGACAGTCAGCACTTGGGAAAGTACTAAACTTGGGAAACATACAGGCAAACAGTCATTCATTCATTCACTGAATCTTTTCAGTCACTTTCTATTGCCCATAGCAACCCAAAGCAACTTGCAACCAAACAAGCAGATAGACAAAGTGTCATCTGATGTCTTTGCGACATCAAGTGATTGAAAGGTACTTGGCCCACGGCTGTGTGTGGAGTTAAGGATCTGGCCTACCAGCCAGATCCAGTTTTCTACCCATTATAAAGGTTGGGCTACATAGATGTTCTGCCGAAGAATTAATGCTTTTGAATTATGGTGCTGGAGGAGATTCTTGAGAGTCCCATGGACTTCAAGAAGATCAAACCTCTCCATTCTTAAGGAAATCAGCCCTGAGTGCTCACTGGAAGGACAGATCGTGAAGCTGAGACTCCAAGACCGTGGCCACCTCATGAGAAGAGAAGACTCCCTGGAAAAGACCCTGATGTTGGGAAATATTGAGGGCACAAGGAGAAGGGGACGACAGAGGACGAGATGGTTGGACAGTGTTCTCGAAGCTACCAGCATGAGTTTGACCAAACTGCGGGAAACAGTGGAAGACAGAAGTGCCTGGCGTGCTCTGGTCCATGGGATCACGAAGAGTCGGACACGACTAAACGACTAAACAACAACAACACATAGATGTTCAAGGGGAGGGAAGGCAGTGATGTTTCCTTCTGCCAGCAGTCCATTACCCCACCTTCAGGAATAAGTTAGGAGGAGGATTAAAAATAAAAATAAAGTCCTGGTGCATACCCCTCCCTTTGGACTCAGAATGCTAAGTACAAACTCAATGCAAACAGAAATGCCAGAAACTGTCTTATAACATTTGTCTACCTAGCTCAATACTGCCTACTCTGACCGGCAGTGGCTCTCTTGGATCTCAGAGGTCTTTCACATCCCTTGCTACCTGTTCCTTTTAACTAGAGATGCTGCCAAAGCTGCATTCGGGACCTTCTGCATGCAAAACATGTGCTCTTCTATCACGGACCTGTAATCATATATCTCTATCTCTGTACTGTTGCCGGCATCCGTCTGTCTCGGGAGACAAGTGGAGGATTGTGCCTTTGGGGGTGAAGTCAAATTGTCGGAAGGTTACGCCACCTGCTGTGGCTGTAGAGACTGATATGGGGCACGTTTGGTTGCATGTCTATATATAATCTATCTATTACTGTGAATTATCTTCTATAAAAATGGATGTAAACTTGTTTGCCTGGCACCAATGGAGTACAGCATGACCAGTTTATTATACCCTTTTCTTGGTAGGTGTTGCTGTGGAGGGGTAAAGAGCTTTTGCTAGTAGGGTACAGTGTTGGTGCCTTTTAGCTGCAAACCCATTATGAATACATCAGGTGCATTGGTTTGAGCCTGCAAGAACTCATGCTCTTACTACAGGATGGGGCAGTAAGTGATAAAGCCTTAATCTTTCCCTTGATCCACTTATTTCTCAGAGGCATAATGGCTTTGTTGAATATTCTGTAATGCCAGAAGCAAGTTCTGGCAGAGAAGTTTTTGCACACAGCAGCAACCAAGCACGCCAAGCCTACTCACAACACCAACTCGGCGGGCATCGTGCCTCAGTTGCAAGCAATGTTTACCTTGGAGGATCCAGCTGTTCTCCATTGTTTATGTATGGCAAATGCTTAATTGTTGGGGTTTTTTTTGTATAGGAAAGGCCATAGCTAAACTTGTCCATCAAGAGAATGCATCAACAGAATAAGCATAGCAAATTATTGCAGAAGAGAAGTGTTATTGTTACATTCTGTCTACATCAAATGATAAATTCAGACGAAGATCTTCCACGGAAGAGATTGATTTGCACAATCGCCACACTGTTGGATCCATGTGGAACTGGATTATGAAACTGATCTATCTGCTGTGATCGCTAAAGAGTTGCTTGCATCCAATATTCCTTCCCACAACCCATTTCCATACAGATCCCAGCATACTGTGATTTCAAAGCCAATGCGCCAAGGGACTATCTGCTGTTCAATTGACCCCTCCCCCCTCTATTGCCATGGAAGTAGATTTGGATAATCTGTGGATGTGGGGATTAGCAAAATGTAGGAGACAACTGTTGCAGCCAACATGTGGTAATAATTTCAAATAGCTAGACCATCATACAATAATTGAATCATCATAACCTTATGAATCAACCCTTGCTATTTTTTATTTATGTAAAAAAGGAAGAAATATACTCTACAGCTGTTGTCAAGTGTTTTATGCACGCATAAGCAACAGCACATACACATCAAAGTTAACTTGCTCATCGTCTTCCCAGCAGCTTGCAGCCTGCTTATTAAACTGGAGAGGAGCACAGAAATGAAGATTTCAGGTTCCACGGGTGAGCTCTTGGAGGGGAATGCCCCCCCCCCAAATCATGAAAAATATGATGTATAATCATGGTGCTTGCATGCAAACAATCATTCTGCATAAATCACGTTGCACGCACAGATCTGCATCTGCACACAGATCTGGTATGCAAACACGGATGAGTTTGGTGAGATTTAGAGAGACGCTTTCTCATTAGTATACAAACCTTGCTCACAGCTGGGCCCGATCCAGCCAGGGAGGCACTGGCAGGTTCCATCGATGTGATTGCAGACAGCTCCATTCTTGCAGTTGCACACCTGGTGACAGTCCAGCCCAAAAAAGCCATCTGGACAAGCTGAAGATGGAAAATGATGAGAGGGTGATACTCATTTGTGTATACATCTATCTATCTGGCAAGCAATATTCGCCTTCCCCGAAACAGAGCTTTTAGGAAGTAACAGGGGAATGCACACATTTACGTTTTAGTTAAGAGCTGATCCAAGAGTCTGTCTCTTGCACCGGAGGCAAAGCGGTGCTTGGACTGTAAAACTGGCCTCCCTCAGCATGAAAATGTATAAATAACATATTTGATGCTAGCCAGAAAATTATGCTGCTGAAAGAATAGCACGGAACGTCTAGTCAGATACTGATTCAGTCATGGCCCACCATGCTGAACACAATACACTAGTCAGACATTTCACTTGATGGGTCACAAATGAGATCAGCACTCCAACCCAATCCACAATGTTTCAAAGGAAGTCCAGGAGATAGTGTGTTGTGACCACGCCAGTGAATTACTCATCAATTAAGCATGTTAAGCTCTAGGGCAGTGTTTCCCAACCTTTTTTGGGCAAAGGCACACTTGTTTCATGAAAAAAATCTCGAGGCACACCACCATGCCAGATGGGGAAAGGTCACTTTTTACTTATGTAAAAAAAAATAAAAAAATAGTAACAGCATAGAAGGTAATGGTTATCTCTTTGATGTCTGATGGGAGGGCATTCCACAGGGCGGGCGCCACTACCGAGAAGGCCCTCTGCCTGGTTCCCTGTAACCTCACTTTTCACAGTGAGGGAATTGCCAGAAGGCCCTTGGCACTGGATCTCAGTGTCTGGGCTGAACGATGGTGGCGGAGACGCTACTTCAGGTATACTGGACCGAAACCGCTTAGGGCTTTAAAGGTCAGCACCAACACTTTGAATTGTGCCCGGAAAGGTACTGGGAGCCAATGTAGGTCTTTCAAGACTGTCGTTACGTGGTCTCGGCGGCAGGTAGCAGCGCTCACAGCTTACGGACTGCACCGTGTAACAGGTGTCTGGCCCAGCAGCCTAAGGCGGACAAGCCACTGAAACAGGCATTCAGAATCCATCCATTTCATAAAACCTGCAGGGCTCAATCTCTGTGTTTGTGTATGTGTGTGTTTCTGTTTTGCCCAAGGGTCTGGGGGTGGGAGAGAGCTCTTTAGCATGATGCTTTTAAAACAATTAAATTATCAACAAACAAACCTGATGATACGAATAGCAACGTCAGGTGCTACGGGGGGGGGGGGAGAAGGGGGCCTACTCAGAAGTAAATACTGCGTCCAGGCGCAATTAGCGCTGATTTAAGGTGCACCAAGACTGCCTAAAAACCTCACCAAAGATATGCAACAAAGCGCTTCGTTGCAGAGGGGAGAGTTTGTGCACCGTGGAGGCTGGAGGGCTTCTATTCTACATGCGGGGGTTGGGGGGGGCGAGGAAAATGTGCTCCGTGGTGGGGCGGGGAAGGCAAAGTTGCAAAAGCGCCCTGCTCCTTCTTCCGCGGAGGGAAACGCTCCTGCGGAGGCGAGAGGCAGCGAGGAGGCGACGAGGTGAGGCTTTTGTGAGGTAGGGAGAGGAAAGACGGGGGAGGGAACCCAAGGAGGATTTGCACGAGAGGGAATGAAGGGGAAACGCGCCTCCCACGTGGAGCACTTTTCCCCGGGAAATGCACAGGGTGGGGTCGTGGCTGATCCGTGCTGCGCGCTCGCGTCGTGCGGCCCAAAGTGCTGCAGGATCGCCAATGCAAGACCCCCTTTTAAAACCTCCCCCTCCCCCAGCTCTGGAAAAAAAGGGGGAAGGGGATGGCGTCGGCGTGCGGAGGCTGCCCGTGCCCGGCCAGGCGTCGGTGGCGGTGTCAGCGCTGCTGCAGTGGCTGCTCCTCCTGCGAGCAGTGAGTGGAGCGCAGCGGCGGCGGGGGGCGCGCGCGCGCTAGGGCGCAAGGCTGGCGGTGGCGGCGGGGAGCCCGGCGGAGGAAGGAACTTGTCCCTTCCCTCTGGACTCGCGCCCCCCGCAGATGTTGCGCCCGGTGCGACTGGCACCCCTGGCACCCCCACGCTACGCCACTACTCCCACGGCACACTAGGCAACGTCCGGCGGCACACTAGTGTGCCGCGGAACACCGGTTGGGAAACACTGCTCTAGGGTTTCCAACAGATCATCCATAAAGAAAACAAGTAACACTCCAGCAGAGGGCACAATAGTATAGGTACAACATTTCACATGTGGTGGATGCGTGAACATATAAAGCCCTTCAGGGAGAGGGTATTTACAGAAATAAGCTATAATACATGTGAAATGTGTCAGTTTGCATTTCTTAGGACAGAAAGTATTGATCTGATGTATAGAGATCTTTCCTATTCTAATTAATTCAAGAGGGTTCTGGAAGCTTCTCTGTATGAAAGAAGCAAGCAGAAGGTTTGTGGTGTTTGGGTTATACCTTCAGAGAAGCCGAGTACAGCTGGCTTAAACTGGTTCTGTTGTCTCTTCTGTCAAGGTCATGCTGACTATAAAAGTAAGGCCAGAAGGAGCCTGGGTTTCACTGTCTCTTTCTATCTCTTCCTTCTGGTGTGGTGGTCTGTACATAGTATGCTTAGTGTTAAGGTTTAGACTTACTATAAGTTATTGTAGGTTTAAGTCTGCTGCAACTGGATTTCTTATGGACAGTGCCAATCCTGAATGTATTGGATTTGTGACCATTATGCTCATTTGCCTTCAGTAGCAGTAAAGCTCTGCTGGATGAACTATTAATTGCCTCTGGTCTATTTTTTGGGAATCCTGCAATGTGTTTAAGTTTTTACTCTGCTCACTATATGCTGGAATCTGCTCTGGATCAATACTGAGTAGAATTTCCATGACATGTGAAATGTACCCCAGGTTTGGGATTGTTAGCTATTTTTAAAGAAGGGCAATCTGACCTTTGTTATGAAGAACTAATTACTTTTCTTTTGGTAGCAGCACACCTACTAATGGCACAGAATTGAAAAGGATTGGAATATCTTCCTCAGAGCCTCCTTCCTTGGAGGTTTTTAAGCAGAGGTTGGAAGGCCATCTGTCATGGATGGGGTTTTTTTTGGGGGGGGGTACCTTCCAATTCTACAGTTCTGTGATCCTATGATTTGTGTATCTCTCATTGGAAACAGAATATATGGCCCATTGCTGTATCAGAAAAATTAAGAGATTACATACACTGAATAATACAAATGGTGTAGATGATTTTGTTGAAATATGGCATCCTTTTATAAAATCCTTTACTGATTACCCTCAAGAATGGCAACTACTGAAATCACAGACTGGACTTTGGCAGACTTAACTAAATTGATCCGTCCTGGAGTGGGGAGAGTTGAATTTTTCCTTTTGTATGTTTTTCTCTTTTTCTGTAATTGTTGTATATTGTAAATAAATAAAACCATATTAAATAAATAATAAAGAAAACAAGTAACACTCCATCATGGTCTGCTTCTGTGTCTTTAACTGCAACTTACCGTATTTTTCGCCCTATAGGACGCACTTTTCCCCCTCCAAAAATGAAGGGGAAATGTGTGTGCGTCCTATGGGGCGAATGCAGGCTTTCGCTGAAGCCTGGAGAGCGAGAGGGGTCGGACTCCAGGCTTCAGGAAGTTCTGCGCAACCCTCGGGAGACCTGCTCCGAGGGTTGCGCAGAGCTGCCTGCAGTCCCGGGCTCAGCGCAGCTCTGCGCGGCCACTGGGAGCCGGGCGCGAAGTCCCGCCCCGCTCCCGATGGCCGCGCAGAGCTGCCTGCAGTCCCGGGCTCAGCGCAGCTCTGCGCGGCCATCGGGAGCGGGGCACGAAGTCCTGCCCCGCTCCCGATGGCCGCGCAGAGCTGCCTGCAGTCCCGGGATCAGCGCACTTCTCCCCATCGCCAGCCCCACAAGCTCGGGGGACAGCGGGGAGGCAGAGCGCACCTTCCCGCTGTTCCCTGACCTGGTTCTTCCAGCCCCGCACCTGGGGGGGAAATAAATTTTTTTTCTTTATTTCCCCCCCAAAAAACTAGGTGCGTCCTATGGGCCGGAGCATCCTATGGGGCGCAAAATACGGTAATATGCACAAATCAACAGGTGATTTTTTAATTGCATGAAGAGAACCTGCAAACATTGACACATCAAAGCTCCTGTTTATGGCATAGCTGCGGTGGCTGGTTGAAATCATGGCAACCTTAACAGGCTCCCATATGGTAAATCTTACTTGCTCCAAACATTTTGGGGAGGGGGAGGGGGAGTTAGGCTCTCTTTTTCTATTCACCCCATGTGTTGTGGGAGAAGTACTTGGGAGAAAGGCAGGATATACCGTATTTTTTGCTCCATAGGACGCACCTTGTTTTAGAGGGGGAGAACAAGAAAAAAAATTCTCCCCCTCTCTGCTCAGCGCCCCTTCAGCGAAGTGGCAGAAGAAACGGAGCCCCTTCCATTTCTCCTCCCGCTTCGCTGAAGGGGCGCTGCGCACTCTCCCTCTCTGCTGAAGCCGGGATAGTCTTGCTCTCCTGGCTTCAGCAAAAGGAACCCGAAGCCTTCGGAGCGCAGCGCGAGTTCCTGCTGTGCTCCAAAGGCTTCAGGGATAGCCACCTCTCCCCTCCGAGGCCATGGAGAGGCAATGGGATGCTCCTTCGCTGCCATTTGGGACAAACGCCGGCTCACCCTCCTTCTTGAGCTTGGCAGGCGGCAGCCCTGGCAGGAAAAATGGGGACATTCTGGGATCAGATCAGGAGCCGGGATGGCTTTTGTAATTCTGGGAATGTCCCTGGAAAATCGAGACACTTGGAATGGAATGGGAATGGCGTGCTTGCAGATGGTGCCTCCAGGAATGTTAGCAGCAAGACCACTGAGCATGTTCCCCAACCCCTAATAGTGTTTACCTATCCTATTCTGGCACTAGTGATGAATGGAAGTGAGAGCTGGAACATAAAGAAGGCTGATCGCCAAAGAATCAACGCTTTTGAATTATGGAGGAGACTCTTGAGAGTCCCATGGACTGCAAGAAGATCAAACCTATCCATTCTGAAGGAAATCAGTCCTGAGCGCTCACTGGAAGGACAGATCGTGAAGCTGAGGCTCCAATACTTTGGCCACCTCATGAGAAGAGAAGACTCCCTGGAAAAGACCCTGATGTTGGGAAAGATGGAGGGCACAAGGAGAAGGGGACGACAGAGGACGAGATGGTTGGACAGTGTTCTCGAAGCTACTAACATGAGTCTGACCAAACTGCGGGAGGCAGTGGAAGACAGGAGTGCCTGGTCCATGAGGTCACGAAGAGTCGGACACGACTAAACGACCAAACAACAACAACAACATGGCTAAGTGGGGATTTGAACCTGGCCTTCCAAGTCCTAGTCTGACACTCTAAGCCAGTGATTCTCGACCTGTGGGTCCCCAGATGTTGTTGGACTACAACTCCCATCATCCCTGAGCTCGGGCCTTGCTAGCTAGGGGTGATGGGAGTTGTAGTTCAACAACATCTGGGGACCCACAGCTTGAGAAAGGCTGCTCTAAGCATTACACCACAATCAGGCGGTGGCACCCTATGGCTTCTCCTTCGTTTTGTTCCCCAAATTTCTTCCTCATTCCTACCAGCAACTTATTTTTCTCCTTTGTCTTTTAAAACTCTGGCCATAAGGAACAGGCAGGCTAGCTCACTGCTTTTTTGTTTTTCACTTGAGCTGAATAAAGTTTATTGTGATACTGCTGGTGTTAAGATTTATTTATTTTGTATCCTAGGGGAAACAAAGAGCTGCCTGAGTATTTTTCGTCAAAGGTGCAAATTGGCCTCGTTTCCACTAGAGGGCACCACAGGTACACGCACAAAAATTACAATTTGCTCAGATACTAAAACACAGGCATTTGATTTCTCCTTATGTACTTGCCTTACAAAGTATAACAAGAACAATAGATTTAGTGTGGGAGTTAGAACTCTCTCAAATGCTTTGCACATACTCTATCCTGCTTCCACATCTATCTGCAAAGAATTCGTGTTTTCTTGCAAAGCATGCAATTCCATGTGTGTTATATCCTAAAATACACATTTTGACATGATTTTGGTACTTCTTTCTAAAGCCAAGAATTGCACTGCAACGTTATATCAATGCCTAGTTCTGCATATTAGTCTGCGGAACTACAGATAGGGTCAATTTTGTATCAGAATTTGCAAAGAATTACTTCCCCAAGTGTCCCCACTGAGGAACTATTATGCGTATTCTGCGGAGTCCCACTGAGTTGCAGAACATTCTTCCAGGGGTCCTAAGAGTTCACAGTCTGTTCACATCAGATGCCAGGTAGGGAAGCTCCAAATAATTCCATCTCTGCATTTTTAAAAATATTTTTTTTTGCTACGATGCACACTACTCAGACCCCTACTGAGGATCATAACTTTGCTCTCCAGCAAATTTTGCCCTTCTCCAAATGCTGTGGCACCAGTTCTTGGCAGCTTTAGTATATTAAAGAGAAAAAAACACAACGTATTCAAATATGTACATTGAGACAATGTTTATTTTAAAAAACAACAACAACAACTGTGGATCAATGCAGAAATCAGACGCCGGGTGAAACATGCAGAAAAAGCAACAACAGACCATTAATAGATGTGTCCATTCCCAACGCCATTTGCTAGGCCTCACTACAACCCTGTATGAACTGTGATGCAGGATATAACCCTTCCATGTGGCTTTACACCTGGGCTGGAAAACCTAAGGGCTCTCCAGCTCTCTATTACCGTGTTCTTTTGACTCTGTGAGTTGAGGACCTGCCACCCGCTTGAGATAAATAAGACACAAGGACACATGTATTTAAGGTTAATGGGCTAAAGAAGGCCACAGCTTTATTGGTTACAGCATGTGAGTGGTATTGGCTTAGCCATTGGATCAAACAATCTATACATGACTCCACCCTGCACAGCAGGGAGTCATCCAAAGGTTAACAACCAGTGGGAGGAGCTTGTTGATGCAAATACAGCTGGAAGCTCCCCCATGACATCACAGGGGGTCGTGCCATGGCCCTAGCCACCAGAAGGGCATCGGACAGGATCCACGACCACCAGATTCCTTTAACGGAATACCCAAACAAGGGGAGGGGAGGTGATGGCCATAACCTACCCTCTAACACACAACACATATTCCAATGCCTAACCGCCAATACCCAAAAGTTGTGACGAATTGCTATGAGGTAGGCAAAAAACCATGAGGCTGGTGCTAATTTGCCCAATGGGTAAAAATTCCTACCAGGCCCCCTGGGCAACCAACCAAAGTCCATAGCAAGGACAGAAGCATAGGTAAAGGTAAAGGGACCCCTGACCATTAGGTCCAGTCGTGGCCGACTCTGGGGTGCAGCGCTCATCTCGCTTTATTGGCCGAGGGAGCTGGCGTACAGCTTCCGGGTCATGTGGCCAGCATGACTAAGCCGCTTCTGGCGAACCAGAGCAGCGCACGGAAACGCCGTTTACCTTCCGGCCAGAGCGATACCTATTTATCTACTTGCACTTTGACGTGCTTTCGAACTGCTAGGTTGGCAGGAGCTGGGACCGAACAATGGGAGCTCACCCCATCATGGGGTTTCGAACTGCCAACCTTCTGATCGGCAAGTCCTAGGCTCTGTGGTTTAGACCACAGCGCCACCTGCGTCCCTAGGTCAGAAGCATAGGTATGACCTAAAGGGAGGGTGGGTGATTTCTCGTCTTCTGGGCTCACAATGAGGGCATGGAGCTGCCGCGGCCACTTGAATGAGGCTAAACCCCGCCCCCAAGCCAGCCCTATTGGCTGGCCCATGGGCGTGGCGCAGCAGTCAGGTAAGCTGACACAGGGGGCTGAAGACGCCCCCCTGCCGACACAGGAACTGGCTCCTGCTCACAACTCCTCCCCTCTGTTAAGAGGAGAGGCTTTCCCACACCGTGCTCCCCAAACACATCATCTCTTTCTGGGCCATGCCTCTCATCAGCACCACTTCCCACCCATCTAGGGGTTTTTTTTTGCCTGGCTGGAATGTGTCCTTGCATTCTGATCATGAATCCTTGGTGGATAGTGGAGAGGGGTGTGCAATTCTGTGTAGAAATTAGGCTACTGTACTGCTGTTCTGCCCTCTTTCGACTCTGGCCCTTTTCACCCCTGGCATATGGCCTCCAGAAGCGAATATAGAACAAAGAATCAGAGAGTTGGAAGGGACCAAAGGGGTCATCGACTCCAACCCCCTGCAATGCAGGGGTTCCCAACGTGGGGTTCGAACCCACGCCCCTGAGATTAAGAGTCTCGTGCTCCACCGACAGAGCTATCCCAGCTGTCAACGGAGCCCTCAGGCTGAAAACAGCCCACCCGCAACCCTGTTGTGCATTGCAAGGGAAGACAGGTAATTGTGGCAAGCTGTCTTTCAGAGAAGCTTGCTTGCCACTGCCAATCTTCTCACTGACTGCTGCTGAGCTTATTGGGAATGAGTGTGGAAGCTACTGTTAAAGGGTAACTCTGTAAAGGTTAGGTAAAGTTAAAGGGACCCCTGACCATTAGGTCCAGTCGTGACCGACTCTGGGGTTGCGGCGCTCATCTCGCTTTATTGGCCGAGGGAGCGGGCGTATAGCTTCCGGGTCATGTGGCCAGCATGACTAAGTCACTTCTGGCGAACCAGCGCAGCGCATGGAAACGCCGTTTACCTTCCCGCCAGAGCGGTACCTATTTATCTACTTGCACTTTGACGTGCTTTTGAACTGCTAGCTTGGCAGGAGCAGGGACTGAGCAATGGGAGCTCACCCCGTCACGGGGATTAGAACCGCCGACCTTCTGATCGGCAAGTCCTAGGCTCTGTGGTTTAACCCGCAGTGCCAAAGAGGCTCAAGCTGCAATCCTGTGTACAATGAATTGGGGGTAAAAGCCCTTGAACTCAGTGGGGCTTTCTTACGATAAAATAGATGCATGGGGTTGCTAAATTAGTCTCTTTACTGTGTTGCCCATGGAATTGTCTGTTCCTTTTCTGCAGCATCTCCTCTGCCCACTCCTATTTTATCTGCTGTGGAGGACAGCGCTAATATAATCTGCTGGTAAATCTCCACTTAACCAGAGTGTGAAGCTAGTTAAAGAATCCTGGTAAAAGGGGTGAAAAAGGTTCTCTTTTGCTGCTGCTAACTTAGGTTTTAATGCCATGGTAAAAACTAGAGGAAAGGAGGAGCTCTGCACGCAATCCCAGGATATGATCCTGACCTCTTAACCACCATTAAGAGAATGGGCCTGTTTTGTCTTACCAAGTACATCACTGAGCTGGTAAATTATCCTAGGCTGTTGAGCTAATCAATAACATCTTTACAACAGACTGAAAATCTGCAGAAAACGTCGCTGTTGAGAAACGCATTTATATGAAAGAAAGAAAGAAAGGAAGGAAGGAAGGAAGGAAGGAAGGAAGGAAGGAAGGAAGGAAGGAGACAGAGGGGAGGACAGAGAAGGGAGCGAGAAATACCTTTCTCACAAAAGGTTCCCATCCAGCCAGCTGTACAAGTACAGGCTCCGCTCATGTGGTCACAGATCGCTCCATTTTTGCATTGGCAGCTATGTTTACAACTCAGGCCAAAGGTTCCCTTGGGGCATCCTGTGTACAGAGAACAAGAGACAAGCATTCGGGCGAAAATCAGGCACAGATATCAACCCCGACTTTTCTTTGATCAGTTTAAACAGCTGCCTATGCATGGAGGAGAGGGGGAAATAATAATTTGCTTTTACAGAAATTGATTTTCAAATAAGCATGGAGAATAACTGTGCACCTTTGTGGCTACTGCAATTCAGAGAGAGCCCAGGCAAAATACCGTATTGGCCTCAATATAAGCCGCACTTCCCCCCCAAATTCCAACCGTGAAAAGTTAAAGTGCGGCTTATATTCTCAACCTTACAAAAAATGGCTTCTACGATATCGCTGCTGAAACAGACATATGGTAAAAGGGAACAAAAAAATGTTTTATTGCCGATTTGTGAGCTTGAGTGCCTGCGGAATTGTAGCAATTGAATAACGGTTTGTGATTTTAGCGATTGTACGGTAACTTTTGTGGGCTTGCAAGATCAAAGGCTTAAACTGGCTCGGAGTTACAATTCTACCAACCGCAGCCTGTAATCCAATTTTAAGGGAGCAGCTTATATTCAGGTATTGTCTCCCCCCCTTGAATTTTAAAGGTGCGGCTTATTTGTGGGTGCGACTTGTATTCGGGCCAATGTGGTAGAAAATGCACAATTGGGTGGGTATCTCCGCCTCCTGAGAGGCTTCCCTAAGAAAGGCAGAAAGGTTTTTCCATTCCTAAATGTTGGGATAGAGATTGTTTACTACTTTACATATCACATCATGCCAGTGTAGCATCTTAACCATTTACAAGTATAAAATCAACTAAAAAATATTCACGCATAATTGCAAAACACTAAAGCAGTTGAATAAGGAGATTCCAAGAACGGGCGCAGTTCACCCTTTTGTTGCATTGGGAGGAGGTCGCTGCACGCTTCTGCAACCATGGCACAGGCAGAGTTTGAAAAAGCTGCAGAAGAAGTCAAGAAGCTGAAGACCCAACCAACAGATCAAGAAATGCTGGATATCTACAGCCATTCCAAGCAGGCCACAGTTGGAGATGTAAATACAGACCATCGTGGGATGCTTGATTTCAAAGGCAAGGTCAAGTGGGACGCCTGGAATTCCTTGAAAGGAATGTCCAAAGAAGATGCAATGAAAGCATATATTTAAAAAGTGGAATATCTGAAGGAAAAATATGGAATGCAATGAACCCCTTTCCTGCATGCCTTAAAATGGAATCCTGCCTTACTCTACTAACTTAAACTGTGTTACACAGTATGGCAGTGCCAAGACTTGATGCCACTTTCTATAATTAATAGCTGTGTAAATTTACTTCTAATGGTTTGTATAATAAACACTATCAAATTCAAAAAATAAAAATAAATAAGGAGGTTCCAAGTAGAAGGGAATACTTGTATCTTCAAGATACGGTGGAATGCCAATACTGATGGAGCCCCTTGCATTTCAGCATGGAGGGCCTTCCACAACATTGCCGCCAACAGTGAAAAGGCCCACCTCTGTGTTACCAGAAGCCAATAATCATCAGGCTGTGGCAGAACTAACCAGGTTCCAGTTGTTGATCTTAATGCCCATAATGGGCAATAAAGGGGCCAGCCTTCCCTAACCTAGTTCCCTCCAGATGTTTTGTACTACAACTTCCACCATCGCTGACCATTAGCCATGTGGGCTGGGGCTAATGGGAGATGGAGTCCAACAACCTTTGATAGTATCCAGATAGGGAGGGCTATGCCAAATTCCTATCCTGAAATACAGCCTAGAAATAAAAAGAACAGAAATGGAGAAATGCAGGCATTAACTGCCCAAGAGTACACTGGGGAACCAAGGATGCAAAAATTAAAGCATTTTGATCATCCAGACATGAAGTCTAATGGTCAGGCTAGCTATTACTTCCAAACAACTATGAAAACAGACTCCTTCTTGGAGTACACATTTTAAGCAAATGCTTATACAGAGGTTGAAATCTGAGTCCTCCCAAGTGAACTTCTCCACATCCTAAAAAATAAATAAATTACCAGCTGGACCCTTTCCTATAAGCACACAACAGGAAAAACAGTTCCCACTCCTTTATTCTGAGACTTCTCCTCTTCGGCTAGCTTAACATCTTACTCTGCTCACAACGCTTCCCAGTGTATCCTGCTTCGCAGAAGCAAACGCCAGTAACCGGGTTGCAGCTCCCATCACTGTTTCTGCAGTCACAGGAGTTTCCACAGAGCTGTCCCCAGGAGCCAGAACCGCAAGCTGAAAAATAATACAGAATGTTGTATGGCTGCCTGCAACAACAGCAAAGGCTTCCTGGGTTTGGGAGTCTATAAAGCAGCGATTGGGAATGCTTCCCTCTGAAGCATTCCCTTGTCAGGGGCTATATGGCTGGGACTGGTGAAGCTAGTGGGTGGCTTCCTTCCTTCCTTCCTTCCTTCCTTCCTTCCTTCCTTCCTTCCTTCCTTCCTTCCCTCCCTCCCTCCCTCCCTCCCTCCCTCCCTCCCCCTTTTGCTCTCTCACTTTCTGCTACCCCATTTATCTTTCTGCCATCTTTCTCTCTCCCTCTCTTTCTCTGCCATCTCCCCTTCTCTCCCAACCACCCTGCTCCTTCCACCCCAAACCCCCAGTAGGCTGCTGGAGAAGGGACATATCTCTCCTGCCAGATGTCAGATCCCTTTCAGGGGGCTTCTGCAATCACACCCAGGGAAACATGAAACGAGGTGGACAATTGGCCTTCAAGCTGCAGAAGAAGAGTTCATATTTGATATCCCGCTTTATCACTACCCGAAGGAGTCTCAAAACGGCTAACATTCTCCTTTCCCTTCCCCCTCCACAACAAACACTCTGTGAAGTGAGTGAGGCTGAGAGACTTCAGAGAAGTGTGACTGGCCCAAGGTCACCCAGCAGCTGCATGTGGAGGAGCGGGGATGCGAACCTGGTTCACCAGATTACGAGTCCACCGCTCTTAACCACTACACCACACTGGCTCGCCAGTGTTGCTGTGAAGTTAAGACCCATGTCAGAAACATCAAGGCGGAAGGCAGTTGTTCTTAGGTATCCGAAATTGCTGAGGGTACAAGGCCTTACTAAGGAGCAAGCCGCAAAGAACACAGAAGAAGTGACAAGTGAGTGAACATGCACAAGTCTGCACTGCCAGAATTTTTTGTTATAAGCCACTCAGGTGATTAAAGGAAGAACATCTGTTAAAATCACTGTTGCGGCCCTCTCTGAGAAAGAGAGGAGAAAGGGTCCATTGTGTGGGAGTAAGTCAATAGGCCCTGCAAGTATTCAGACTGTGCTTAGTTCCAAATGCACCCACTATTGAAATCCATTCTATTTTTCCCCCTCATGTAGTTGTGTTGCAACACCAGGGCTTTTTTTCAGCTAGAACTCAGTTCCAGCACCTCTTAGGTGGTACCACTCCCATTCTAAGAGAATGAGGGAGGTGTTTGTGGCACCTCTTTTTCTAGAAAAATAGCACTGAGCATCACACACAGAACACTGTGACTAAAATAAAAAGGGTGGAGGCTTTAGCTGAGATTCCTGCATTGCAGGGGGCTAGATTAGATGACCTTTGGTGTTCCTTCCAACGCTACAGTTTTATGATTCTACAAGGGTTTTCCTCCATGAACTGGCCTCTAGAAGGATATCTGTGATGGCCACATTTCCTTCTGTCCACTGCAGCTGCCAGTGAAAGGGCTTTTGCCTTGAGTTGTTCTTTCACAACCGTTTTCCGTATTATAAGAATGGAAGAGTAAGTCAATGATACATTTACTCCCCAGCAGTCTGTTTCCCACAGCAGCCTTCTCTCATTCTTAATCCCCAGTAACTGATGTCCCATGGCACACTGCCTTTGAACCTGGAACAGGTGTATAGCCATTACAGCTCATGGCCCTTGATAAAGGGTAAAGGGACCCCTGACCATTAGGTCCAGTCGTGGCCGACTCTGGGGTTGCGGCACTCATCTCGCTTTATTGGCTGAGGGAGCCAGCATACAGCTTCCGGGTCATGTGGCCAGCATGACTAAGCCACTTCTGAAGAACCAGAGCAACGCACAGAAACGCCGTTTACCTTCCTGCCGGAGTGGTACCTATTTATCTACTTGCACTTTGATGTGCTTTTGAGCTGCTAGGTTGGCAGGAGCAGGGGCCGATCAACGGGAGCTCACCCCGTCGCGGGGATTCGAACTGCCGACCTTCTGATCGGCAAGTCCTAGGCTCTGTGGTTTAACCCTTGATAGAATTGGTCTAATCCCCTTGTGATGGCTTTTTATGCTTATGACCAATGAGCATTTCAACGGTGACCTTCCAAAGCAGAAAAAAGTGTGCAGTAGTTGGACTTGGACCAGGAGATACAGTTCCCATTCGCCGCTGGCAGCCTGGTGGCACTTTTCGTTTGTAGGCAATAGTCTTATAAATGTGTCCTTCAAGTTCAACAGTGACAAATGGGTGCTTGAGCGCATGATGCATATGCTCAACAGAGAGCTCGGATTGGCTACAACGCCCTGTTGAGTGAGCACTCTTATTTGCTGCTCCTTAATGTGTGAAAGAGCACTTAGTCATGAAGCTCACTGGTTAAGCAGCCTTGGGCAAGTTACTGTCTCCTGAGCCAGCCTGTATCTCAGGGTTGTTACGATAAATGTGATAAATGAACAGGCCATGAAAAGGCACCAAAAGATGACATGGAAATAAAGGGGAAGCACGGCATGAGGCAGCAATGCAGGTAAGTTGTGACATCTATAATGTTTCCCCTCCATACATCCTGTTGCCTTTCATTTGCAATCCAGAGGCAACAAATTTCAGTCGGTATTTAAATTCACAAACCCAGGGACCATCTTTCTAATGCAAGAGAACGGGATTCACTCAACTTGTTGTGACAAGCGTCTTCCCCCCTGCCCCGCATCCTCACATTGGGAATTAGCTCTGAACTAAGCTGCATTGAAAATTGGGGGCGAGGTGGGGACGCAGAACCAGCTGTCAGTCTGAATGCTCTGCCTTGTGCTTGGAGGAACTGGCGAACAGTGATGGAATAAAGTTCTCCGATCAAACCTCTCCACTTCACCAGCCATCACCCTCTACGTTTTAGACTTACATGATTAAGGATTATAGCCAGCCAGGCTACACGAACCCATAAATACACAATTACAGAGGCAGGAAGATTAGCAGGGAATATATTAGATATATACATGTAGCAGGAAAGTTTAATTGCCTAAGAAGCTGCCGAGCTGGTTCTTTAGGATTTTGATTACGTCGGCAGCGGCAGGAAGGAGCAGGTGCTGATAATGGAGGCTTTGACTTACGCTGCTTGCAGTCACGGCCGATCCAACCTGGGGGGCATGTGCATTCCCCAGTGACGGGGTTACACTGAGCATCGGTATGACAGCTGCATTGCAGCAAGCATTCTTTCCCATGGTAACCAGCGGGGCAAGCTGAAAAGAGATAAGCGTGCAGCACTTGTCACTTAGATCTATCAGCTCAGACAAAGGCTTCTGTTCCACGTGAAAGAGAGCAACTGTGGTCATGATCCACTCATTACAGATCACTGGGCAGAGAGGTCCTGGAAAGTCATTTAGCTCGGGGCAGAATCACCTGCCTCTTGCTGCGCATCCTCACACTGCGCTGCAGCTAAAGGGACCCTAACAGGCAGCTGCAACTCAGCGTTGGCTTTCTAAACTTTGGAGCATTCGTTTCAAACTTACCTCTTAAGCTCCGTGTTTTATATTGTAAACTGCCCTGTGATCCTCAGATGAAAGGCAGGATAAAAATTTAATAAATAAAACAAAACAGGGCTGGGCTGAACTGAGCCGGCCGTAGATCTGCTGGATCTTGAGCTGGTCTTGCCGCAGTAAGGTAATGGCATTGGGCCCAGTCCAGATCCAATTACTGCACCAGCCCAGTGTGGGTGCAACAACAACAAACAACAACAACAACAACAACAATAATTTATTTATACCCCGCCCACCTAGCTGGGTTTCCCCAGACACTCTGGGCAGCTTCCAACAAAATATTAAAATACAATAGTCCATTAAGCATTAAAAGCTTCCCTAAACAGGGCTGCCTTCAGATGTCTTCTAAAAGTCTGGTAGTTGTTTTTCTCTTTGACATCTGGTGGGAGGGCATTCCACAAGGATTGCACCAGAACCTCCAGCCCCACACTCCACTGCAAAGCCCCACAAAGTTCTATGGGCAGCCTTGGTTTTATTTTATTTTAAAAACATAGAAGTTTGTGCTCCGTTGCCCTGTCCCCCCACCAAGCACAGAAGATGGCAGACTTACAAGCATTGCAGTATTTCCCAGTGTATCCTGATGGGCATTCACACGTCCCAGTTACTGGGTGACACAGCCCTCCATTCTCACAGGGTTCGCAGACAGAGTGGCAGTTCACACCCCAGGAACCCTCAGGGCAATCTAAAAAGACAAAGTGTAAGGAATCAGTAATGTATTTTTAAAAAACTGTGATAGGCCTAGAGTATCTTTGATACAGAGTCTTACAAGAAACAGTGTTAAGAACAAAATGAATGGTGCATGTATAAGAGAAGTCCCCATTTTCCAAGTGATGTGATTTCTACAGTTCCTTAATTTATTTCTAGACCACTATAACATAAAACATCAAGGTGGTGCATGCTGCTGAAACAAAACATAGTTTAAAAAAATATTTAATTTTTTAAGCAACCAATTAAACATTGACTTTGCCTGCCTTTTCTATGGAGGTCACCTACTAACTGTGTGTGTGTGTGTGTGTGTGTGTGTGTGTGTGTGTGTGTGTTTATTGGGAAGAAAGTCCCATGGAGTCAGATTACTCGTTATTCTTATTATATTAATTTATGAATCACTTTTGACACAAGTCTTGGGGTGGTTTACAAACATGCAATCAAAGCAAGTAAAAATAGATTTTTTTAAAGAAATGATACAAAGAACAGCTAAAAATAGGTTTAAAAAACTATACAAATAAACATCCACGGCAGAGACTTAACATATACATCCAGCTGGAAAAACTTACTGAAACAGAAATGCATTTGGAAAGATGGCTGCTGTATCTCAGCAGAGATACTGTTCATACGGAGCATGCAATATGTACGATTGCAGCCTTAAGTTTCCAAGGGGAACCCCCCCCCCAAATCTAAATCCATGTAGATGAATAGAATTTCAAATCTCTTTAGGGGTTAAATTTTGGAAGCCGGACAAACATTCCTCTTAACTCTGAGTGTAGCGGAGCAGCTTTACCCTCTGGACATCTGGTCTTTAGATTACGTGATAGTTTGCAATTCACGCTAAACGTCCGAGCTAAACAGTGTTAAAAACAAGCAAAGAGACAAAGACTGTGGCTATAGTAACAAGGCCATCGGAGGCATCAGAAAGCATCCACAGTCGCAACTGAAACAAGCAAAACACGCAGCTTTCAATGTAAGTGCTATTGACTTATGACACAGATAGATGAACATTTATGACAAGACTGCGTGTGGGATATAAAAATAAACCTGTGCAAAAACATAATTCCAGCATCTTAAAAACATAGTTTTATACTATTTTTACTATTTCTGGGGGGAAAATATATCAGGGGATTCTGTTTAAGGGTTCTGGTACCCATCCAGGGCTGTATCTAAGAACCATGAGTGTCCTGGCCTGGTTCTGCTCTTATTCCACCCTGCATTTGAATTTCGTCCCATCCCATTCAAGGAGCCAGCAGCAGTGACCACTTCCGTTCCTGGGTGTCCCCTGTTGTTTCTGACATCAGTCTCTTTCTCCTCTTATTTATGTCCCTGTTTACAGCTTGGCATCCCTTGATGCATAAGTAAAGGTAAAGGGTCCCCTGACCTTTAGGTCCAGTCGTGGTCAATTCTGGGATTGGGGTGCTCATCTCGCTTTACTGGCCGAGGGAGCCGGTGTACAGCTTCCGGGTCATGTGGCCAGCATGACTAAGCCGCTTCTGGCGAACCAGAGCAGCGCACGGAAACGCCGTTTACCTTCCCGCCGGTGTGGTACCTATTAATCTACTTGCACTTTGACGTGCTTTCAAATTGCTAGATTGGCAGGAGCAGGGACTGAGCAATGGGAGCTCACCCTGTTGTGGGATTCAAACCGCCGACCTTCTGATCGGCAAGTCCTAGGCTCTGGGATTTAATCCGCAGCGCCACCCGCGTCCCTCCCTTGATGCATAGCTATCACCAAAGACAAACATATCATCTGTCCAACAGCCATGCTGATCCTATGGATTCTATGGGGTTTAAGACAAATGCATGGAGGATAAAGCTATAATTGGCTATTACTGATACTAGCCAGAATAACTATGTACTAGTATTTCAATATCAGAGGCAATATGCCTCTGAATACCAGTTCCTTGGAATCACAAGGGTTATGGCATATTCATGACCTGCTTGCACGTCCAGTTCTCAGCATCTGGTTGGCCATTTGGTTGCGTGACCAGGATGATGGAGCAGATAGGGCTTTGGCCACAATAAGGGTTCTTCAGTTCTTTTGCTTCCATTCTGCAATGAGACTTTTATATCAGCTTGCTTTTGATCCCATGTTTTCCTTTAATCTATTTCTCCCCACTGTTTTGCAAATCACTTGAGATGCAGTCTCCGGGAGAGACACACACCACTCAACTGCACAGTAGCAATCCTGCCAGTCTTCCACTTTGCCACTTGACAGCAGAAGGGCGAGTCCAGCAGAAAAGCATTTCTGGCTCATCGCAGAACTGAATACAAAGATGAGTCGCTCATCTAGCAGGGTGTGCGAGATATAAGAGAATGGCCTATCAAAGCACGAAGAATCTTGGACTCGCTGAGGCTACTTTGATTGCATGGAACTGCAGCGTTGGATTTAGTTGGCTAAATATTGGAAAACACAAAAGTGCCAACAGTGGAGGAATGGCAGATGAAGACGATGGACTTTTGGGAGCTAGCCGACCTGACTGGAAGAGTCTGCGACCAGAAGGAGGAGGAGTACCAGGAGAAATGGATGACATTCAAAGACTATTTAGCTAAATATGCTAAGATAACTTAAATAGAAATACTTGCAAGTGCCAGGTTGGCTTAGGATTTAAATATGCGATGTTACAGAATAATATATCTGAAGTTAAAATGAAAAGAAAGAAAGATGTTAATTGACTAAGTAAATTTTATGAGAAATTAGTTTTGGAAAACTGCTACAATGATATACATAGAAACTCAGCCAGGGGGATTCGAGGAAGTCATCTAACAATGTTAACAAAAGTGGAACTATTATAGTTTGGATTTATTTTTGTTTGTTTGTTTGTTTGATGTTTGTTATAAATTTGGAAAATCAATAAATTTTTTTTTGGGGGGGGGGGGGAATAGAACTGCAGTGTTGGAAGGGACCACTAGAGTCATCTAGTCCAAACCCCTGCAATGCAGGAATCTTTTGCCCAATGTGGGGCTCGAATCCGTGACCCTGAGATGAAGACTCTGTGAGCTTGTGGTTTCCCCACACCTGATTAAAAAGAAAAGGCAGAAGCAAAAGTTCCCCACTCAGTTCTCTCTCTCTCTCTTCAAAAACATGCCTCCAAGTACATACGGTTTAGGCAATTTTCTCCATAGAAGCCTGCAGGGCAAGGGTGTCTGCATCTCCCAGTTTCATGGTCACACAAGGACGCACCAGGACAGCTGCATCTCTGTTGACAGGAAGCTCCGTAAAAACCAGGTAAGCACTCTGGAAGAAAAAGCATGCAAGACTGAACGGTCCTCGTCATCGTTTCATGACTGCAACATTCAGTAATTCCTTGCAAGTGTGGATGGACCATAAGCAGGACTTTCATTACCTTAACCAAAAAACCCCCAAAACATTTCTGTTATGCACTGAGTTGAATAGGATTCAAAATGCAGCAGTCTGATTGGACCTAGAACAATAGGATTCAGAATGCAGCAGTCTGATTGGTCTGCAGGAGCCACCCAATCCAGCTCCAGGTGGAAGTGAATCCGCAACCTGATTGGCCTACAGGAGAATCCTGGAATTAGCCAATCACGTGGGTGGGGCCCATTGTGTAAATAATGTATATAAAGCAGACACTTTGGGGGAACTTCCATTCCTCACTACTATGAGCTGAATAAAGAGCGTGAAATCCACACTCGACTCCGAGTATATTTCAATTTCCATGGAAGTGTGGGATGGGTTTTAATGGGTAGGAAAGGATATATTGATTGCACATGTCTGAGTTTCAAAATCCCATCCTTGGCAGAGAAATTAAAAGCATAAGAACTGGGCTGTAAAGCCTTCTTTTGAGCAAGGCTCCCCACTTCCTTACCCTGCTTAACAAAGAATCAGACAATCACTTGTAAAGCAAGTTTAAAAATATTTACTTACTTTATAATCATGCATTGGTTCACAGCAAAGACAGCAGTAGAAACTATGCAGGCAAAATACTTATATTTACATTATAACCAGCTTCACGCATGTGGCTGGAGCTGGAGTAAGCATAGGGATGCCTGACTTCACGGCTGGTCGAAGATTAGAGAGAGAGTGACAGGAAGTAGTATATGTTCCTTCCTCTCCAGGGGAGGAGGGGAAATGACATCACACAGAGCCCTCTCCAACAATTGCATTTCTATGGTCTGAGTATCTGCCTGTATCAGCAATACAGCTCTGTAGTTAGCTCTGTGCTAACTAGCAAGAATATGCATTTTTAGGTTTGGCTTCTAATCCCCCCACAGGAAGCACCATAAAAATAACTGTTGTCGTTGGATAGAATCATAGAATCATAGAATCATAGAGTTGGAAGAGACCACAAGGGCCATCAAGTCCAACCCCCTGCCAAGCAGGATGAGGAACTGCATGTGTTAGGAAGGCTTGAGGAATTAGATCTTTGCAGATTCCTGTATGAAGCGAATCTGGATGAATGCGTGGATCAGAACTTTATTACCCACGGGCTCTTGCACTTGCCAAAATTATGATACCATCCTCAGTTCACAGGAAATATCAATATCCATTTAAAATGCGTATTTTGAAAAAACATTTATTAAGAAACATACATTTTAAGGAGAATGTTATCAAATACCATGTTTTCATAGGGTGACATCCCATCTAAGTCATATTCAGAGCAGACCCATTGAAAACAATGGACTTATGTAAGCCCATTGATTTTCATGGACCTACATCTGTGTATGAAACAGGAAGCTGCCTTATACTGAATTAGACCATTGGTTCATCTAGCTCTGTTTGCCAGGGAGTCCCTGGGGTTTCAGGCAGAGAATATTCCCATCCCTACCTTGAGATAAATGGTAAATGGACCCCCTGACCATTAGGTCCAGTCGTGACTGACTCTGGGGTTGCGGCGCTCACCTCGCTTTATTGGCTGAGGGAGCCGGCGTACAGCTTCCGGGTCATGTGGCCAGCATGACTAAGCCGCTTCTTGCGAACCAGAGCAGCGCACGGAAACGCCGTTTACCTTCCCGCGGGAGCGGTACCTATTTATCTACTTGCACTTTGACGTGCTTTCGAACTGCTAGGTTGGCAGGAGCTGGGACCAAACAATGGGAGCTCACCCCATCGTGGGGCTTCGAACCGCCGACCTTCTGATCGGCAAGTCCTAGGCTCTGTGGTTTAACCCACAGCACCACCCGCATCCCTACCTTGAGATGCTGGGGTCTAAACCTGTGACATTGTGCATAATGGGATTTTTTTAAAAAAAACAAAAATTAAAACCACAGGTTATTGCAGAAAAGGGGTGAGTCAAGCTCATGAGTATGTATGTATGTATGTATGTATGTATGTGAAAGTGACATGGACCAGAAATGGACTATGAAAACAGAGGCTACACACGTGGTTCTGCCTTATGCTCCAACTGCTAGGGCTGCACAACCTTTAAAAAAGTTAAAATTCTGCCATTCAGCGAATGGATTCAGTCCCATCCCTGATAATTCCCCTGCCCCTGCTAACCAAACTGCTAATCAACAGGATTTCAGCTTTTTTCCTGTTTTTTAAGGACTGCTGGTGTGCAACTGCAAAACGAGAGAAATTTTGCCGTATTTAACTATTTATTTTTCAGTAAAAAAAAGAAAGAAAGGCTTAGAATCACAACAGTAAAGTCAAGTACCGTATTTTTCGCCCCATAGGACGTACTTTCCCCCCTCCAAAAATGAAGGGGAAATGTGTATGCGTCCTATGGGGCGAATGCAGGCTTTCGCTGAAGCCTGGAGAGTGAGAGGGGTCGGTGCGCACCGACCCCTCTCGCTCTCCAGGCTTCGCGCAGCTCTCCGCAAGGCGCAGGAGCCCGGCGCTGGGCTCCCACGGCTTGCGGACAGTTGCCTGCATGCCGAAGGCTGGGCGCGCTGAGCTCAGCGCGCCCAGACTTCGCGCAGCTCTCCGCAAGGCACGGAGAGTTGCCTGTTCTGGGGTCGGGGGAAGCTCGGGCTTCCCCCGCCCCAGCCCCGCGCCTGGGGGGGAAATAAATTTTCCCCCCTTTATTTCCCCCCCAAAAAACTAGGTGTTCCTTATGGGACGGTTCGTCCTATAGGGCGAAAAATATGGTAATTAACACATGGAAGGAATATGTGCTGCAAGATGAATAAATAATATTGCAGAGAAAGGAATTGAGACAGATAGCAAAATGCATACCTCTTTGACACTTGCTTCCTTCGTAGCCTGGTCTGCAGGTACAGGTACCGTTTCTGGGGTCGCAAACCAGGGTGTTCTCCTTCAAACAGTGGCACTCCTCTGAGCAGCCAGCTCCAAAGACCCATTTGGGACAGGCTGCAGTCAGATTAAAGTGAGCTGTTAACACTGTTGCTAGGTTGGCATGCCTAACATGGAGCAATAAATTTCCGACGCAGAACAGAATAGCTGCTTAAGAAAGCATGACTGAATGGAAGAAAGAGAAATGTTTCTGATTACTAAAGGCCACTCAGTTTAAAACATTGTAGCTGTTTTATTGTATCAAATTCAGTAAATAAGATCTGCATATATTTGCATGGGATCAAAACCAGTAGTTTTGAAGAAGCAGTTGTGATCACACATGCTGCAATATTTTCTCTTGTGTAAAGGAGAAGCTCCTTTAAGGTGCCACGTACTATTTATTAGTGTGCTGTGTTGAAAATCACACAGTTTTTGTCCTACAACTCCGGCATTACTTGTGTTGAAAATAAAATAATAAAAAACAAAAACAAAAATCAAGGTGCATGCACCTTTTGAGGTGAAAGAAAGATTTCTCTATATAGAACTTAGTTGGTTGCAACCCATGGTTTTTAATAACTGTTTTCAAATATCAGGTTGAAAGGTGCCTTGAGCTGTGGGATAAGGTAGTCAGATTTAAATAAACCAATAAATAAAATCTATGCATCCTTGTTTGACTGAAGGGCATTTTGCAAGAGTTGTATTGTATTGCTGAGAACTTAAAAACATTTTATATAGCATTCTGTATGGCTTGACTTACTTAGATGGCAGAAGCGACCATATAGCCCAGGGTCACATAAACAGGCCCCATACAATCTGTGGCAATATCCATTGTTAGCACAATTACATTTCTTGTTGCAGTGTTTCCCAAAGCGTCCTTTGGGGCAACCTGATAGATATTCCAAAAAAGGAAGAACAACACAATACAAATAGGAGTCAATGTGCAAAAAAAGCAAGCAAGCATATTTTTCTGTCTATCTACCCATCTATTTTTCTATCTACCAGTACATTTCCGAGCACAATTCAAAGTGTTGGTGCTGACCTTTAAAGCCCTAAACGGCCTCGGCCCAGTATACCTGAAGGAGCGTCTCCACCCCCATCATTCTGCCCGGACACTGAGATCCAGCGCCGAGGGCCTTCTGGTGGTTCCCTCACTGCGAGAAGCAAAGTACAGGGAACCAGGCAGAGAGCCTTCTCGGTAGTGGCGCCCGCCCTGTGGAACGCCCTCTCATCAGATGTCAAAGAGATAAACAACTATTTGACATTTAGCAGATATCTAAATGTTTTTAGGTGGGAAGTTTTTAATGTGTGACATTTTAATCTTTTTTTAAATCTTTGTTGGAAGCCGCCCAGAGTGGCTGGGGAAACCCAGCCAGATGGGCGGGATTCAAATAATAAATTATTATCATTTTTATTAACCTCTCTATAAATAGTAAGAGTGTGTATACTGCAATCTTGCTTTACACTCCCTGCATGCAGTTGGTTCCTAGCATACAGCAAGATGCATGACAGCATGGCAGTGTTCAGGCAGTGCTATTAGATCATGGATTTGCAAACTAAGGCCCGGGAGCTGGATCCGGCCCAATCACCTTCTAAATCCGGCCTGCGGACAGTCCAGGAATCAGCGTGTTTTTACATGAGTAGAATGTGTCCTTTTATTTAAAATGCATCTCTGGGCTATTTGTGGGGCCTGCCTGGTGTTTTTACATGAGTAGAGTGTGTGCTTTTATTTAAAATGCATCTCTGGGTTATTTGTGGGGCATAGGAATTCGTTCATCCCCCCCCCCCAAAAAAAATATATATAGTCCAGGCACCCACAAGGTCTGAGGGACAGTGGACCGGCCCACGGCTGAAAAAGGTTGCTGACCCTGGTATTAGATGCTCCACTCAAGTGACAGGGAAAGATGTCAAGGATGCTCTTGACTGGCTGTAGGATCTGAACACTGCAGACCACGTTTGCTGCAGGTTCCATGGGTGTTGCTGCTTACACACAATTGATGTAGCATTATGAACCCCCACCCCACCCCCGTGGCACTCATCTGGAGCCCTCTGTGCCATGCCACTTTGCCTCTGTAAATTGTAAAAAGTGGGAAAGGAATGGAAGGAAGAGCTTCTGGTAAATGCCATAGCAAGGGCAAGGAAACTCTGGATTCGTTTCACATCAGGCCAGGGTTTGGAATCCAATGCAAAACAGATCTGCGGGGTGGAGACTCCTAAAATCCAGTGCCTGGCCCCCATTTCCCCAAAGTTTGCCCCATCAAATAATGGACTGTTCTGCTTACTGCACCCTGCCGTATTTGAGCCTCTACGCTGCACTTTCGGTGCCAATTAAAAAAGATAGTGCCAACTCCACAGGCAATCATAAAGACACCCAGCTGGAAATGATGTAGAGGAAAACAATAAAATTCTTACCATCTTCACAAAACTTTCCATTAATTCCTGGTGGGCAACGACACCACCCTGTTACCGGATCGCAGGAACCTCCATTCTGACACTTGCAGAGGCTGCTGCAATCTTTCCCATAGGTCCCCATGGAGCAGGCTGCAAGGCGAACAAGCAACACAGTCTTCTAACCGCATTAAGGGCCAAGAGCAATTACGCTTCAGCTATCATGTCGAAATAAGGCAAAGCTATTAAAGGGCATCTTAAAACAAACAGTCCGGATATTATGCCATGCCGGTTTCTGCGGGTGCTAATATTCATCTGCTTTGTGTTTGCTACTGAAATAGACTGGAAAATGTGCCATTGATGTAGCCATGGGATGCAAAGAGAAGGAGCCATGACCGGCTCTCTTGTGGGGGTTTGGCTGTTCCTATTTCCCCATAGAATTTCACAAGTTCTGATTGAAAACTAAGGGCTGTGGCTCAGAGAGACCTTATGGACATCTGTCTCTTGTGGGCTGCTTCTCTCCCCCAAGATAGAGACAGCAGCCTTTTTGGAGGAAGATGGCTTGGGAGGGTACAAATTAAGGCATATACCTCTGAGTAGTGGGTGTTTCTAAGGGCTTATCCACACTTCCTGTTGTTTTCCCCAAGTGAAAAACCACCCTTTAGTGCTCAATCGGCACAAACAGCAATTGAGTTTTCTGCGGATTGCTGTTTGTTCCTATTTAAAGCTAAGGAGAGGATTTTCCCTGGGAAAGGAATGGTGCAATGGGAAAACCACTCAGACACATGCCTAGAAAGAGGAAAACTGCTCAGATCCATGCTTCCTAGGCCCGGGACAAGAGAAAGTATGGACAAGTCCTGAGTGTCTTAGAATCCTCCTCTAATCTGATCAGCACTATTAAACGGCACAGAGGTACATAGGGCAGATTGATGAGCACTACATGCCATACCAGTTGCAGCATTCAGACTTATAAAATTTATTTTTAGTGCTGAACACGGATATAGGTAGGGGCAGCAAACAAGCAACTCAAAGGGATAAATGTTTACTTGAACTACTTTAGCCTTGCAGTGATTGTCCATTGCAGAGCTAGCCCTAAGAAGTAAACTGCAAGGGAACCCCATCTCCACACCTGTCTGTGGAATACAATGAGTGACCTTTTGTCAAAGTGGTGAAAGCAGAAGACAGACAAAAAGTTGCTTTTCAAACTGATGCTGCTCGTAGCTGATCATTTTCTTTGAAGATTTGACCAATATGATTGGGTGTTGCTGTTTTTTGCTGGTGGAGGGGAAGCAGATTGCACATCACTTGCAAATTTGGGTCTACTAAATGGACCAGTGAGCTTTGAAACTGTCAATCTCTTACAATGGATGAGAGTAGATCTAGATGGAAAGGTGCATTATTATTGCCACTTAATGGGCCTTTTTAGGTTGCCTCTCGCCTGGAAAGGAAGTCTACAGGAGATTAAGGGACAATATGTGTGAGACCATGTCCCTGGATCATCTTTTGTGGTTCCTTAGAATTTGATCGCATCAGCCTGCTGTCAAGGCAGATGCAGAGGCAGTTTAATAGCCAGGTAATGGATCAAAAAGTTCTTTCTGCATCACAGAAAGTATCTCACTTGTGTCTTATTGCCACTGCAAAGTGACACTCAGTAGTCTTAAATCTGAAGAAGGGGATTGAAATGAATGGGACTTGACACCAAAACAAATGAAGGCACACACAGGAACCCTTAAATAAATTTGCTCTTCTGTGACAGGTATGCGTGCAGACCCAGCATGGTGAAAGGCAGTGTGATGACCCCCAAAGGTTTTACCCACAGCTCACATCAATAGATAATGCCCACTGAAATGCACCTCTGCAATTCATAGAATCATAGAATTGGAATAGACCACAAGGGCCATCGAGTCCAACCCCCTGCCAAGCAGGAAACACCCTCAGAGCACTCCTGACATATGGTTGTCAAGCCTCTGCTTAAAGACCTCCAAAGAAGGAGACTCCACCACACTCCTTGGCAGCAAATTCCACTGTCAAACAGCTCTTACTGTCAGGAAGTTCTTCCTCATGTTTAGGTGGAATCTTCTTTCTTGTAGTTTGGATCCATTGCTCCGTGTCCGCTTCTCTGGAGCAGCAGAAAACAACCTTTCTCCCTCCTCTATGTGACATCCTTTTATATATTTGAACATGGCTATCATATCACCCCTTAACCTCCTCTTCTCCAGGCTAAACATGCCCAGCTCCCTTAGCCGTTCCTCATAAGGCATCGTTTCCAGGCCTTTGACCATTTTGGTTGCCCTCCTCTGGACACGTTCCAGTTTGTCAGTGTCCTTCTTGAACTGTGGTGCCCAGAACTGGACACAGTACTCCAGGTGAGGTCTGACCAGAGCAGAATACAGTGGCACTATTACTTCCCTTGATCTAGATGCTATACTCCTAGATTCACAGGGAATACCTGGCTGTGGAAAGTATGACCCAACGACAAGCAGACAGAACCCACTAGTGTAGCAATTATGTCTTTAAACTGGACTAGAGGATCATGGGTTCAATTTCTCACCAAGTCATTGAGCTCATTGTCGGTGGCCTTGAACAAGTCACTATCTCTCAGCCTTAATGGGGGTAAAATAAGATAAACACATTGTCTAATGCCCTCGACAGAAGTGTAGGTGAAATTCAGGACCCCACCTTCGTTCAACATTTATGTGGTTTGAGCAAATTCTTTTTCAAGTCATTTGCTTAGCTCACAAGTGCAGAGCTGTGCGGTCTGTGACCCATGAAACCATTGCTAGCTGAACAACAGCCAGATTGTTTGATTATTATTTTTAACCCATCCATCTGAAAGGTGGTATACTATGATCTTCAAATCTAAGCAAAGTGATTTGACAAAGTAGACGTTTTATTTATTTAATTTATATCCTGCGCCTTAGTTACCCAAATCTTGTTCGAGCTGGGCTCACCCTTGTTAGTGTTCAAAGTGCATTTAAATAGTAAGCGGTATACTCACTTTCATTACATATAATGCCAGTCCACCCAGGTGGGCAGTCACAACTACTGTTGTCACTGTTGCACTTCCCTCTGTTCATACAGTCAGAGCAACTCAAGCTGCAGTCACTGCCAAACATGTTATGCAGACAAACTGAAATTAAAAAGCACAAGTGTCAACTCGCATGCCAGGCTTGGCTATTTCAGTTTATTCTGTACATGTTTACTGCCAGCAACCACTTGCAGCCAGGGGCTATATCATTCAAGAGATGGAAACAGAAACAGAGAGCTGCAGAAAAGTGTCACTGCAAAAGTTTCCCCTGCTTTCCTATATCCATTTATTTTTCATTTTTGAAGCATGCCAATCCAGAACAAACAAATATCTCCCACTCGAAAACTGCACAACAAATGGCATTATGAAACATTGGCTCTGTTCTAATAGCCTCTTCTTTTCGGGTTATAAGTCCTTGCCATAATGTTAAATGTGAATTCACAGAATCATAGAATTGTAGAGATAGAAGGGACCCCAAGGCTCATATTCTATTCAAACCCTCTGCAATGCAGGAATTCCTTGAATTCAGCAGTACAGTGGTACCTCGGGATACATACGCTTCAGGTTACACACTCCACTAACCCAGAAATAGTACTTCAGGTTAAGAACTTTGCTTCAGGATAAGAACAGAAATCGTGCTCTGGTGGCGCAGCGGCAGCAGGAGGCCCCATCAGCTAAAGTGGTGCTTCAGGTTAAGAACAGTTTCAGGTTAAGAACGGACCTCCGGAACGAATTAAGTACTTAACCCAAGGTACCACTGTAATAGCAAAGGATCACTCCTGTTAGTCTATGCAATAAAGCAAAACCAGTCTTCACTGAAAGCACTGCTCTTTTTCTGACCTCTGAGCTGGGTTGTCAGTGTTTCCATCAGAACAGTATGCTGCAATCTCCCACACTACTCTTCCTCCATACATGCCCCAGATGTTTTCCAGTTTTTAGCAATGGTGATATGGACTGCTGTTTTTTAAAACTCACATTCCTTCCAGGTCCATTGGAAACAGACAACATGGCTAACTTAGGATCACAAGGAACTGTTTGGTGTGTCACCTCACCTCTCACCCTAAGAGCATAAGGACAGCATGCAGGATCAGGCCAATGGCCAACTAGAGGCCTATGAGATGCCAAAAAGCAGGACCTGGATGGAACAACACTCATCCTGCTTGCGGTTCTCAGCAACTCTCGTTCAGAGGTATTCTGCCTCCAGCAGCATAGGCAGAACAGAGTGATTATGACTATGTTCTAGTAGCTCCAATTTTTTATAATTCTCCTTATCTTCTGGGCTGATTTTTTTCATTCCCTGGAAACATGTTACTTCCATGCGTGCTCTCTGTGAAAAATTAAGATTTTAGAAACATTCTCTCACCAACTTGGTGTGCAACAGTGAGCTCTCCACGAATCTCCTCTTCCTCCTCATCATAGAAAGAATCTAGGGAGGTACTGAAGTGAAGGAGCTGAGGTGGTCTTCTGAAGCGGAAGCCAGGAATCCGGGCAATCTCCAGTCCTTCTTCTTCCTCCTCTTCCAGCTCATCATCATCTAATGCTGATATCAGAGATACAAATACTTACATTTTCATCTTATTAAGTCCCACAAGCTTGATCCAATTTGTTGTTTACATCATTAAACAGGTGCTGCTACTATTATTAATAGGAAACAGAAACATTACAATCAATGAAAGCTCTTCAGACTATTCAGATGACAAAACTACCCTGCAATGATGACTCTCTCACCCCCAGGGTAGTTTAGTTGCCTGTATCATCCTCCAAGAGTCAAGGAGGGGGGGAAATCACTACATATAAGGTGCAGATGTATGGTTTAACAACTATATGTACATGTATTACACTTGAACTGAAACTCTTGCTAGCATGGAGGTACTCTCTCTGTATTTGGAACTGGAAGGTAATCATAGGCGCCGACTCCATGGGGCTTGAGGGGGCCCGAGCCCCCTCAAAAATTCGTTTGGGGGGCTCCGCCCCCCCAATAATCTCCGGCGCCCCTCCAGCAGAGCGCCATCGCTGCCCCTCCCCCAGCCCAAAATGCACAGGGAGGGGCGGGCTGCATGCCTCCTGCCCTCCCTCCCGAGCAAAAGCTCCACCCAATTTCCTTTGGAGCTGATTAATAGGCGCAGCACGCTCTCCCCTATTCGCTCACGAGGAGGCGGCGCCACTTTATTTGCATATTCATGAGCTTATTTATTATTCATGAGCTTTCCCGGGCCCCCCCAATATTTTTTATAAGTCCGCGTCCCTGAAGGTAATAGGTGTTACCGGTTAACTATTTTGCCCTTCCTGGAGACCTTAGAGCAGGGGTGGGGACCCAAAGTTCTAAGACTCCAACTCCCATCAGTCTCAGCCATGGCTAATCATGGATGATGGGAGGTGTAGTCCAGCAACACCTGGAAAGCCACAAATTGCCCATCTTTGTCTTAAAGAGCCAGTAGTTCATGGTGTTGTGCTTGTTTATTTTTGTTTAGTTTGAGTTGAATTTTTCATGTGCTAAACGTGCCCTCCAAATTGCTCATCCTTAGAACAACATGAGATTTTTTTGCACTTCATTGCTCAACCCATTTTAAGGGGGCTGATTAGACAAGCTGCTTCTCACTTGTAGAGAGCAATCTTAGTTTCTTTGTCTTTTGAATTAAAGATGCCTACCCAAGCAAGTTGTTATCCATCAGCCTTACATTCCATTGGATTCAGGGTGACTTGTATGTGTTTCTGTCCCTTAAGCCCAGCCATAGCAAAGCTACAAGATTTATAAATCATCTCAGATGTGGAATTTGAACTGAACACAAAACAGTGTCTAGGGATTACATATTTAGCTTTAGAATAAACAATCATTAAATTATAAACGTATATAAAAGCTACACACACACACACCATCATCACATCACCATCAGGCTATAGATGACATTTTAACACTGAAACATATATTTAAAAGTCTGATTGAAACAGAAGATAAATGTTTTGGCTTTATATTACAGATTCAACACAACCACTTTGGGAATTTTAGAATTACGCTTAGCTTCTCAATATAACGAGGATTTGAGTAATATCTAATTTGCTGAAAATGAGACAATTCAAACAAACCTCATTTTTAAAAGATTATGTGTTATTAAGACGCCTCACTCTGAATAAGTAATGCCATTATCACTTCCAAAAACCATGGCTGGTAATTGGAGTTTTCCTTCGAATAGAGCTCCTAACGATACAGAATAACTTACAGATGCAAGACTGTCCATTGGCACTGCTGAGCCTGTATCCTTCCTCACATGTACATTCATATGAACCCAAAGAATTAATACAATATTGGTCGCAGCCATCAGTGTCGGATAGGCACTCATCCACATCTAGGGAATTAAATGAGGAGAGTAAACCTTGGATGCAAAACCCCAATTTGGATCAAGAAGAAAACTGTGCTGAACTCCTGTTCAGAACTTCAGAATGGCTATTACTGTTATCTGTTCCGATTACCTTGATTATTAGTACATTCAGTTGTATCCAACATTAGAGTAAAGCTGTTTGAATTAATGGACATAAGTTAATTGTTGTCTATTAGCTTCAATGAGTATAATATGAGTTTGATTAACACTGGATACAACCCATTGATATTACCTAGATACAATCTGCATTTCCCACCTTCTGAAATGGCCAGGCAGCTTGCAAGCATAATTTGAAACAACTTCCATTTAAAATCCAATTGAATAAACATTAAACAAAACCATGCAACTTAGAAGCAAAGCCAAGCGTATCAAATGTCCTTCGCTGCCCTTCCTTGCCTGGGAGCACATAATAGGCTTCTGTTTCCTTTCCTTGCTCCTCCTCCCACCCACATTATTTCCCCACCACCACAACATTCATTTTTTGGAACTACTTATGGGTAGCAGTTTTTGCAGCTAACCATGGTATCATATCTGCATTTCAAATTGTAGTTTTGAACGATGCACGGTCAGCGATGCTGCTGCGCCATGGTTAGCTCCGGAAATGAAAGGAGGGAGAACCTGCATATCAGAGTAAAGGGAAGAGAAGCCTGGGAGCCATTCCTAATCTCCTAACTGCAATTGGGAAATTAGGCAGGGTTATAGCCGCCCAAGGGACGCGGGTGGCGCTGTGGGTAAAACCTCAGCGCCTAGGACTTGCCGATCGCATGGTCGGCGGTTTGAATCCCCGTGGCGGGGTGCGCTCCCGTCGTTCGGTCCCAGCGCCTGCCAACCTAGCAGTTCGAAAGCACCTCCGGGTGCAAGTAGATAAATAGGGACTGCTTACCAGTGGGAAGGTAAACGGCGTTCGGTGTGCTGCGCTGGCTCGCCAGATGCAGCTTGTCACGCTGGCCACGTGACCCGGAAGTGTCTGCGGACAGCGCTGGCTCCCGGCCTATAGAGTGAGATGAGCGCACAACCCTAGAGTCTGGCAAGACTGGCCCGTACGGCAGGGGTACCTTTACCTTTTTTTTATAGCCGCCCAAGGTGGTGCTGTGGGTTAAACCACAGAGCCTAGGACTTGCCGATCAGAAGGTCGGTGGCTCGAATCCCTGCGACGGGGTGAGCTCCTGTTGCTCAGTCCCTGCTCCTGCCAACCTAGCAGTTCGAAAGCACGTCAAAGTGCAAGTAGATAAATAGGTACCGCTCTGGCGGGAAGATAAACGGCGTTTCTGTGCACTGCTCTGGTTCGCCAAAAGCGGCTTAGTCATGCTGGCCACATGACCTGGAAGCTGTACGCCGGCTCCCTCGGCCCATAAAGCGAGATGAGCGCCGCAACCCCAGAGTCGGCCACGACTGGACCTAATGGTTAGGGGTCCCTTTACCTTTATATCTGCCCCCAAAGCACCTGTAGCCTGCTCGCCACTGGCACAAGGGGTAGGGAAGCTGCTGCTGCACTACAACACCCATGATCCCTGGCCAGGCTGGGGTTGATGGGAATTGGAGTCCAACGACATTGAGCAGGCCACAGGTTCCCCACCATCACATGAGCGGTTTCCTGAGGTCTTCTCAGGAGCAGGCGCACATCAGCACTGCTTGCGAGACCTGAGGTGACAAACACAATGAACGGCAAAGCAGATCCCCGTGGAATGTTTGCTCGGCATTTCTGCAAAAGGCCTCCTGAGTGCCTTGCTCAGTGCCTGGCGAATTTAAATTACCATCACATTCACAGCCGTCCGGATGAAGCCGAAAGCCTGCCTTGCAGCTGCATTCATAGCCTCCGATGTAGTTGATGCAGAATTGTGAGCAGCACGCATCTCCAGTCACACATTCGTCCAGGTCTACAGGAAGGATGAACAAATTCTTCACAATGCCGTAGAAGTAGTTTATTTATTTTAAAAAATTATTTTTATTAGCAATTTCAACATAGCAATTTATCAAACCATATAATCGCATACATTATTTCCCCCCCTTTCCACCACCTTCCAAGCCCTGCTCAACCACCATTGGACAGCTGACACCATCCTCCTAATTATCAGATTCCTTCTCTACTGTCTTTTAGCACATTCCTCTTTCTAAATGGAGATTTGTACCTCAGTTTGTAACCATATGAGATTTGAACTGATTTTATGTATGTGTTGTTGTTTTAAACTAACCAACTAGATATGTATAGACATAGATATATATTTATATAGGTTTTCATATATGCAATCAATTTTATTATTATATATTGTTTTATATTATATTGTTTTATATTATTTAATTGTTTTATAAATATGTTTGTTGCAAATTGCTTCAGATGCCTCATAGAAAAATAAACATCATATCATATCATATCATCAATCATATCATATCATATAATAAAAACCCCTTTCTTGTAATTTGAATCCATTGGCTTGAGCCCTAATTTTGGGGCTTGATTCCAACCTCTCCTTCCCCATTGTATCTTCACAACAATTCCTCCACGGGAGATGAGGAAGACAGGGACCAAGGAAGAAAGTCTATCTTGAGATCATTGAGTGAGCTACATAGGCTAAGCAAGAATTTGTACCCAAGTATTCTGGGTTCAAGTTTAGAATCCTATTCCCAATACTATATTGGCTCTACCAATCTCTCTTATTAAGACAGTTTTAAGACACACCAAAGTAGCACATGTGAAGCAGTTTTAATACCCTTAAACTGTCATGTAGAAGCCGAGTATTAGCATTATATTACTAGGAACAGGCACTGCTGAATAGAAATCCCCTTTGCTATGAATACGCATGAATTCTTTGGAGAATTCATCTTGCCAAAAATCTTAGACAGAATGCAAATACAACTGTGAAATGCTTCCGGCAAAAGTCTTCTCAGATGAAAATATTAACTTTTTAAAGGCAATTATATAATTCCTGGAAACTTGATAACCACTATATAATTCCTGGAAACTTGATAACCACTATCACATGGTGCCTCTGCTAGAGCTGGAATTGCATGGGACCTAAAACTCCTGATGTAATTAAGGTGAAACAAGGTCATTGAATGAATGAATGAATGAATGAATAAATAAATAAATAAATAAATAGAAGTACAGATTGAGCCAAGCTGATTGGCTACCCAAACGATGACCAGTCAATGCTGAATTTGCAAAATTCCATGAATGAAGAAACAAGAAAAGAGAAAGGTCAGTGTGACAATTAACCTTGGAAAGGGTGCTAACATTCTTGGGGGATCTAGTTGAAACAAGGAAATACAGGCAATGTTTCAGATCATATCTATGCTTCTGGTTCTCTTAATACTCACTTGTGCATTGAAACCTGCCATCAGTTAGCGGGAAATGCTTCTTGTCCCCTTTGCATAATGGTGTTTTTTTTAAACAGCTTGTGCTGGTGGAGATTGTAATCTCCTTTGGGCAGAGACCTGTCCTCCTATACAGGAAATCCTCATTTTGCATGGGGGTTCAGTTCCGGTGGTGTCCACGTGTCAGCAGAGCATGCGCAACCCTTGTACATCCCGCCTCATTCCTCCCCTTCTCATGATGTCTTTATGACATTTTGGGGCTACTTCTGGGTTTGGCGCTGTGTGTGCGTGCGCAATCGCATGTCATTCAAATGCGTCTAAACCAGGAGTGGCCTATACTCTGCAAAGTGGCAAATGCACATTCATGTATAGCCTAGAATTGGCTAACCTGTGGCACTCTAAATTGGACACCAAATCTCATCAGCTCCAGACAACATGTCCAATAGTCCAGAAGGATAGAAGTTGCAGGTTCCACATTCCTGATATAAACTAACAAGCAAATATATCTACATCGTTTCTCTCCCAGAATGGCCACAGGATTCAGAAAACAATCCTAACAAATGCTGAGTATTTATATGCCAAAATACATGATCTGCTTCTATGTGATCTGCAACTCTAAAGTCAATCAATATTTAATATTGATATTTAATATTTAATATTAATCAATATTTAAAATACACCCTAACATTAACACATCCCTAATTGAAATATACAACAAAACTATCAATTAAAATGTGTGGCAATTAAAAGAGGGTTTTTTAAAAAAAAAAACCTCAAACAAGTTAAAACAATGAAATCACAAGTCCAGTTCAGGGGAATGCTTCCCTAAACAGATGTTTCTGCTTAGTGTTGGAACCGGTGGAATGCCAATACTGATGGGGATTCTCATGTTTCATCAGGGAGGGCTTTCCACAACACTGGTGATACCAGTGAAAAAACTTGCCTCCATTGTTACCACATAAAACACCTTAAGTACTCTATATTCCAAATATTATATAAACACAGTCTGTTGCAGCTGCTTCATTTCTTATAGTGTAAAATAAAGTGCTTATAGTGTAAAAGAAAGCTTTCAAAAGTAAGCCTGCTGCTTTGTTAACTGTAGGTGTGGAATACTCTGCACTTTCCCCTCTCTTGAAGTCCTCCTCCTTTGGCGATCATCTGCGTGACTCTGTGTGTATCTGCGCTCATTATTACTATCAATTCTTCCCATTCCTTGTTAAATAAATACTGTTCTTTTGACAGTTTTTGTGCCAAATGAAATAACAACAACAACAACTTCTATGGTTTGGAGTGCATGGCATTGCCCTCCTTAACCACGTAATCCTGTTCTGTAAACCCAGGTCCCAAAATCCCCCCACCCTATAATAGGTTTTGTGGGGGGAAAGAGTTGTTAAAGTGGTATAGTGGAACCTTGGTTTTCGAGTGTCTCGGAAGCCGAACGATTCGGAACTTGAACGCCGAAACCCAAAAGTAATTGCTTCCATTTTTGAACGCACCTTGGAAGTTGAGCAGCTTCCAAAGCACGTTTCTCCATTTTTTCAATGGATTTTGTTCCATAGTTTTCGGACGTTTTGGAAGTCGAATGGTCTTCTGGAATGGATTACGTTAAAAAACCGAGGTTCCACTATATAAAGCCAATGCAGGTTTGTAGTCTAACAAGGGGACAGACTCCTTTGAAGAGCTGTCTGCATTTCCTTATACATCACCTGTGCATGTCTTCCCATCTAAATCCAAGCGGTAACCTTGGTTACAAGAGCAGAGTGGACCATTGGTGGAGTGCTCACAGTGATGAAGGCAACCTCCGTTATCGTCTTCACAGCTGTTGACAATTTCCATTTCAATGCCTTTCCAGAAAAGAATCAAATCATTGCCAATCAATAAATAAAAATGAGAATTGTAGTAAGTTTGCTGCTCTAGAAGAAAACAATGCAGTTCCTGCCAGCCCCTTAAGGGATACTCCATTGCATTCCTCCCCCACTGGTTCTCCATTTGCCTCCCGCAACAATCTCAGCAATTCCATGCCCAGTGAACTTGCTCAGTCTCTACTGCAATGTTTTGGGGTTTCTCCCTAAGCCCAAGAAAGATTTTCTGTACTTTTACAAAACTTGCAGTTCCTCTAAGGCTGCTCCTACCTCCCTCTTGCTTGCAGCTGGTGCCATTTTGGCTACATAAAGATCTGCATCACCCAGAGGGTTAGTAGTAGCAAACTATATTAGCTTCTAGGATGTCCTGAATCTTTAAGTGGAACACAAGAGTTTCAGCACTTGTTGTTTCAGCTGCATACACACAATACATTTAAAGCACCTCCTCACAAAGAACCCTGGGTACGGTAGATTAAGGATGCTGGGAATTATAGCACTGTGAGGGGTAAACTACAGTTCTTTTAATGTATATGCAGACTTTTCCTATCCTTGGGCCACAAACCAAACCAAAAGAACAAAGAGGTTAAGAGGGAAATATGCAGGAAAAATATGCACACATTGAACCAAAATATCAATCAATATACAATAAATGACACTGATGAACCTGATAACATACCAATGCATATCAAAGGCTCAAACATGTTTCAAACTCACGACGTCTTCTTCAGTGGAAAATTATATAGTTATTAAAAAACAAAGCTAGACATGCGGGCTATTATAAAACCCAAGGTCAAAGAGGCTGGTTACATTTGTAGTGTCTGGGGGGGGGGATATAAATTGCTCAGTGTAACTAGTTTCCTGCTGAAAAAAACATTCTGTAGTTTAAACACATTCAGGCCTTTGAAATCTTTTTATATAATGCATGCACCATATTGCTATTTTATGAGGCTCATCAATGTTATTCGTTGAATAGTCATAAATTTTTAGTTCAGAATATAAATTTAATTTGTTAGATTAAGCGTTATTTCTCCATATTTTCCCCACCTGTCTCCACCTTTTCATCCATGTGATCTCATAATTTTTATGGTCAAGCACGGAGCTTTGGACTGAGTAGGCCAAGCCACTGTTTTTATATCTCATTTCAGTCATGAATCCGTTAGGAAAAATGAGGGCTAACATATATGAAGTAATTATGCTTTTGTTTAAAACTGCCGTATGGCGTGCAAAATCAGGAGAGATGAGATGGACGTGGGGGGGAAATCAGCCTTAAAACATGGAGTCTGAAGTGAACACGTACTTTGGGTGACTACGGGAATGTTTGAACTCATTATAATTCACTATATATTGAAGACTGGTCAGCAGCACTGTTTGCCTCTTGAAATGCAGGCGCCAGAGTTCAGAATTCTGAATTTGCGCTCATGATTGCAGAAACCATGGCTCAGCATGAAGGCCTCTGCAAAATCCAGCATTCAAGCACTGAGGTACATCTACTGGGAATTCTAATCACATTGGTTCTTAAAAAATGAGAATACCACAAGAATCAGAAACAGGGGCACGCCTCCCCAGATAAAAACAGCCACCAAATTATCATCTCATTTTATCCTTTTGGAAAGATACACTTGCCTTTACAGCACTGCCGCAAAACTCCCACTTACGGTAGCATTGCCTTCCGTCAGCTCCTAGCTCAAACCCAGGATTACATACGCAGGCAAAGGAGCCCAAAGTGTTCACACAGTGATGGGTGCACTTGGCCGTCCCTTCTGCACACTCATCAACATCTGTAGAACAAAAATGGTGTTGAGGTTGAACAGTGTTGAATGAAAGGTCAGCCTTAATGGAGATCAGCAACCTTCAGGAAACCCTTTCGAGATCAGGGAGCCTACAAAGGAATCCAGGAGTGATGTAGAAGATTCTAGGGCATGTTCCACAATGCGCAGTCAGTGCATGCTCAACCTATTTGCCCAGCCTCTCTGCACCTGTTTGTGGACAAATTTGAACTGAGGACATAGCTTATTTGAGCTGTGTATGCAGAGGAAGACCAGCAGAGGTGAATAAGAGGCAGTTGTTGGTCATGACTGGACCTTCTGAAAATATTCGAAGGCACTCCATAGTTCTACAGAACAACAGGGATTTTTGTTTTTATTTTTTGCTGGGGTGGGTTGAGATGGTGGAGGTGGTGGTAGAAGAGGGAACTGAAGCAAACACATATGCTCAATCACTAAGACATGGTTATAGAATAGCCAATGTGCTACCCTGCAAATGCAGATTGGTGTAGTGATGAGATTGCTGGACCAGGGCCTGAGAGACAAGGGTTCAAATTCCAAATCCACCATGAAGATTACTGGGTGATCCTAGGCCAGCCACTGCCTCTCAGCCTAACCTACCTCTCAGGGTTGTTGTGCGGATTAATTGAGGGTGGGAGACTCATGTAAGCCACCTTGAGCTTTTTGGAGAAAAAGGTGGAATATAACTGCAGTAAACAAATTGTTATATTTTTATTTATTTATTTGCCATTTATTTGCCAAAATGGTTTCCAAGTGGTACATGCACAGGCATCGTGTTGTTGGGCATTGATTTCCAAGAGGACTTTCCTTAGACTACTAGCTTCTCTTGTCCTCTAATGGTGGGAAGAAGTGAGTAGCTGAACCAGCAGTGGCAGAGAAGAGCACAGGAGGGGTGCCTCGGTCTGAAGCTCCCTTCCAAGGTCTCCTAACAGGAGACAACTGAACACATCTGCCAGCAGGAGTAGGCAATGGGGGCCAGAGGGGCTCTCTCTCCACCCCTGTGCTTCCAAATCAAGAAGTCTGACCCCAAGATTGTAACTCCTCGTCACAGCAGAATGGCTCCATCTACGTTCTTGCTTACAGGGTTTAGCATACCTGGTTAGAAAAGAGGTCAATAACTAGATTCTTCAATTTTAGTTACCATCCCTGCAACCCACACTTTGCTTTTTTTACCTGCACAGGACTTCCCATCTGCAGAAAGGCGATATCCCGAATAGCATTCACACTCTGCAAGTCCGCTCTCATTTTGGCAGATCTGCAAGCAGCCTCCATTTCCACTCGCGCAGGGGTCAATCTCTGAAACCAAACACCAAGAAATCCAAGCAATGCGGATCAAAGGTGCTAGCTAGGAATGTTAAGTGTCTGAATTACAAACCAGCAAGGTAAGACGCTTTGAGAACACACACACACACACACACACACACACAAACATATCCACCAATACACAGAACACAGGTCAAGATCTATCTGGCGCAGGCTGCAAGTCTTTTCACATTGCAGTGATATTTATCTCCCAATTTCCTTCTGACTGTTCATCACAAACCATTTGACAAGTTCATCTGGCAGAGATGCTTGAACTTATTTTCAATAGTTACAAAACTGGCCAACATGCACAACCTGTTTTGCAACATCTGAAAAGAAAGAAATAAGGGGGGGGGTTGAGAGGGATCTGCTTTAATGATATTCTCTGTTTCATACAGTGCTGACTTGCTTTTCCCAATATTCAGCAGAGATCTGACACAGATACTTCCACGCGCATCTCTGCCTGCCAACGGTTCTCTGTGCCAGCAGTTCAAATTGATGGCACTTTCCTCTATAGCTTCCTTTGCAGTCCGACAAATATAATTGCTCAAACATGCCTGGCAAACCGTGACCAGCCCTTAACAACCAGAGATCTTGCTGTGAGGGATTACAGCAGCGGCTCTACCAGAGAGTCAATACAATTGTTTGGAAATGCACTCCCAAAAGGAGCGCAAGCTCCTGCTCCAAATATATTGCACATCAAATCAGAAAGAGACCAGGAGATTCTTGAAAACACCCAAAACAGAACAACAACAACAAAAATCCACGGTAAATTAGGCCTAAAGATTCCAGTGGTGGTTCAATATTTTGGAAAATGTGCCCCAAGTCAATTTCCAAGTACCAGGCTGGGGTAACCAATGTGGTGGCTACTTTCAGATATTGTTGGTCTACGACTCCCACAATCCTTGAACTTTGGCCATGTTGACTGAGGCTGATGGGAGTTGGAGTCCAGCAACATTTGGAGGGTCACATGTTGGCTACCCTTGATCTAGATGATGCGACTTTAGTATATATGCAGCTCCATGTATCTTTAGGTGAGCTGTTTTGTCTCTAGTCTACTAAGCTCAGGAGCAAAGCAGCAGCACACGTAGGCAATATAATGTTTGGGACCTTAAGAAAACTGCAGAAAGGAGTAGGCAGCTGTTAGAAGGTCTGAATAGTATATGGCAGTTTCATATGTACATCCAGAACCCTTCTTATCACTTCTAACATCCTTTGCCCACTTTGATAATGGTGCCTTTGGCTTCTCTGATTTTATCCTTTCGTGATCATTGTATTCCTTTGTAAGCGCTGCAGTGAGGCAGTCTTTTCCCTGTCTTTTGTACACCTCTCGCAGGCAAAGCTCCTGCTACAAGCAGAACTGAGACACAGAAGAAACACAGGACCAAAAAGCCTTGATTTTTTTTCTCTTAAAAAACCATGTATGGTAAGTATGGGCATATTGCAGATGGCACCATATATGCAGTGAGTTTGCCATGGGAGATTTAGCTGAGCTCGGCTGCAAAACTTGGCAAACAAAGTCTCCAGTTGATCACTGGAAACGCAAGCATAAAGCTCAGGCCATCAGCAGCTTCGACAGATAATGGGAGCTAATAAAACTTGGCAGAAGGAAGGACAACCCAAGGTCATATTTCCTTCCTAATTCTTTTTAAGAAAGGGAGAACAAGGGAATCCAATAACCTGCTTTGATCTCTATTCCTCTCCCCACTGTCCCTCCTCGTACACCTCCCTCTTATTATTTCCTCTCCCCCCTGTGTTACTTGATGAGTTGACTACCCTACTGTCTCCTCTAACCACTCCATGGGCCTCCATGATATTCAGTTCATAGCCAAGTCTTGCTGTTTCTCCCTTTACAGAATTGCAGGAAATATGGCCGAGAGCAGGTCAGGTGAGAAGGCACTGAAGAGACACAGATGCACTTGCCTCCAGCTGAGGAGATTGGGGTCCTTTTGAGAAGCCTTGGATTGGAGTTTAGGAGTGGTAATCCAGTCTGGGGGAGTTATAAGTCAACCTCCAGCTTCTGTCAGCGCTCACACAGTGCTCTCTTGCTCTCTGAGCAACTCCCATAATGCCCTGTAAGCTTTTGTTTGAGGTCAGGACAGGACAAATGCTTACATTCTATATCAAGATCCTCATACTTCCACAGGGTAGGCAGATTACAAAAAGTTGCAAATGCTCTTAAAGAAGTCCAGTCTTAGATATAATCCTACCATTCCCCTATTGCAATAGTACAAGGTCACTGTGTAGGTGAAATGTAACAGGCTTGAACCAGAGAGCCTGGCAGCATGGACCAGCCACATGACTCTCTATTTCTGACACCTAAACTGCATTGATGCTTTTGAATTATGGTGCTGGAGGAGACTCTTGAGAGTCCCATGGACTGCAAGAAGATCAAAACTCTCCATTCTTAAGGAAATCAGCCCTGAGTGTTAACTGGAAAGGACAGATCGTGAAGCTGAGGCTCCAATACTTTGGCCACCTCATGGAAAGAGAAGACTCCCTGGAAAAGACCCTGATGTTGGGAAAGATGGAGGGCACAAGGAGAAGGGGACGACAGAGGACAAGATGGTTGGATAGTGTTCTCGAAGCTACCAGCATGAGTTTGACCAAACTGCGGGAGGCAGTGGAAGACAGGAGTGCCTGGCGTGCTCTGGTCCATGGGGTCACGAAGAGTCGGACACGACTAAACGACTAAACAACAACAAAACTGCATTAATCAATGCAAGTAACATGCATTCTACTAGGGCAGAAGTGGGGAACCTGGGATCCTCCAGATGTTGTTGGACTACAACTTGCATCAACCCAACCAGAATGGCCAATGGTCAGGGAGTTCCACAATATCTGAAGGGCCAAAGGTTAGCCCAAACTACAGCCTTTGGGCTCGTATTGTGTTTCCAACAGGTTACCTGCACCCTGGGCTCACACTTACTTTCACAGTGCTTCCCATCTCTCTTAAGTTGGTAGCGTGTGTGGCACTGGCACCGGTAGTGGTCTTCACTCATCTGCACACACTCATGTTCACAGCCTCCGTTATTGACGGCACAAGAGCTCACACCTAATACAATGAGAACACAAAAAAATCAGAATGTCGTGATGCAGTTCTCCACCCAAATATCTGAAGTGAGGGCAAAAAAGGGAGCAACCTTTCACATAGCAATATATCCCAAAGAGCAGATTGCCTTCCAAACATGTGTATTTTGACCCATCACCTACAATACTAGACCTTATGGCTTTAAGCAGGACCCTGGATGAGCTCACATCCTCCAGCCACTAGTACTGTGCTAAACACCATATGATCCCTTTGGTAAAGGCATCTCATTTCCAAAAGCTTAGTGATAAGCTGAAGACTTGCTTTTTGCCTTGGATGCATTACCTCCTTTATGCCAAAGCTTTATCCATCAACAAACATCTGCTCCAAAAATGATCCTTGAAAGCAGAGCAGGGAAGGAAAAGCCTTGCTAACACTCTGATACAGAGGAAGCTGTGTTGCAGTCAGTCAGTCAAACCACTGGTCCATATAGCTCAGTAGCTTTTCAAGGACAGAGGACATTCCCCGCCCCACCTGGAGATGCTGAGGACTGATCCTGGGACCTTCTAAAGGATGGTCTTTTAACTATGTTAGCAAAAACACTTCCACTGCTGCAGCTAGAGTGAAAATATTAGGATATAAGTCACAGAACTTGGGAAAGAAGAAAGGAAAACAAGAAACATTGGTCCATCCAGTGCAGTATTGTGCACACTGAAGCTCTCTGGGGCTTCAGATTGAGGACACCTTGTTACCTTGAAATGCCAAAGCTTGAACCTGGGACCTTCTGGGTGCATGGCAGATGCTCTACCAGTGAGCTATGGTATGCAAATATATATACAGTGGTACCTCGGGTTAAGTACTTAATTCATTCCAGAGGTCCGTTCTTAACCTGAAACTGTTCTTAACCTGAAGGACCACTTTAGCTAATGGGGCCTCCTGCTGCTGCCGCGCCACCGGAGCACGATTTCTGTTCTCATCCTGAAGCAAATTTCTTAACCCAAGGTACTATTTCTGGGTTAGTGGAGTCTGTAACCTGAAGCGTATGTAACCTGAAGCATATTAACCCGAGGTACCACTGTATAGCCATCTAGTCAACAACCCAAAAGTGTTTCTTGAGAAACAGGTGGAACTGAACATGCTTGAGGGTTTGTGTTCTGGGGAGCGGTTCCAAGATGGATGCCGGAAGAAAGGCTGCATAACAGAAACCATGAAATAAAGCCAGTTATTGTTCATACTGGTTCACTGCCCTTCCCCAACATGTGTGTATGTGTGTAGACACATAGCCCTGAGGTGATGGATGGCTGCTGGATTCCTCTATGGAGGGATGAGTGACCTATTCAAGGTGTTGTCCGTGTATGTTGCCCTGAACCCTGTGCAGCATGGTAAGAGCTGGTTGTCAAGGGGGAGAAGGCAAATTGTAGCTTCAGGTTTTGTATTGTTCCGTGACATTCTTTCAAATGGGGCATTAAGTCTATTGCAATAAATTTAGGCACTGAGAGACCAATGTCCCCATTAGCTTATTGATTTAAGTCTCTTCATTAACCTTGGGCCTGAATTAAAAATAACACAACAGAAGTAGTTCTGTTAAGGTGAACGTTGCCCCTATTGGGACAACATCAGATTTCCTATTCAAAATTATAGCTACACATTTCTCACGTATTCATATCCTTGCTTTGCTTTCTGATGCATGACTTCCTGCTTCCATCCCCTAGTCTCCAAGAGCTATAAAGACAGCTTCACGATTCTGCTAGAATGTTTAATGTTATTTGCATATAACCCAACAAGGAAGCGGAAAAGGACAAGCTTTTCTTAAAGGATTCTCTCCCACCTTGGCTAGAATGGCAGGCTTAATATTATCTTGTAACTAAGCCAATGCACTGGCAACTCTAAGAAATTGCAAACAAGACATGTGTTCGATCCCCAAGCTCAGATGGCTATCATCTTCAAAGAGATAGAGTTGGGTGTCATCTGCATACTGAGGACACTACATTCTAAATCTACAAAAACTACAGTGGTGCCTCGCAAGACGAAAAGAATCCGTTCCGCGATTCTCTTTGTCTAGCGGTTTTTTCGTCTTGCGAAGCAACCCTATTAGCGGCTTAGCGGATTAGCGCTATTAGTGGTTTAGCGGCTATTAAATGCTTAGCGGCTTAGCTGCTAAAAGGCTATTAGCGGCTTAGCGGCTTAGAAAAAGGGGGGGGGAAGCAAAAATAAATAAATCGCAAGACTTGCAAGACGTTTTCATCTTGCGAAGCAAGCCCATAGGGAAAATCGTCTTGCGAAGCAACTAAAAAACGGAAAACCCTTTCGTCTAGCGGGTTTTCCGTCTTGCGAGGCATTCGTCTTGCGGGGCACCACTGTATTGCTTCCAAAGACTTTACCTAGATGTTGAAAAGTGGGGGGGGGGGGGGCAGAACAGAACCTTGTGGAACCCCAGGCCCAGTGGCCAAGGAGTCAAACAGACACTTTCCACCTTTTGAAATCTCTTCTTCAAGAAGAATGGAGCCCAAGTCCTATCCTGGCCAGACAGTCCAGAATAGTGCCATTGTTGAAGGTATTGAAAACTGCTGACGAGACTGACAGTGACATACTTTTCCTGCCTCGGTTCAAAGATTTTCTGTCAGGATAGGCCAGGCTGTTTATGTCCCAGAATTAGGCCTGAACTGCAGTTGAAATGGTTCCAGATAACCTTGCATCATTTAGAGTTTTCCACTTGCATCTCTGAGAATAGACATCTGAGGTCAATTGGTCTTCATAAAACTTTAAAATTGGCCTATGCGAAAGTACCAATCATGCTGATGAGGATGGGAAAACTTTTTTTTTTGTACCCAATACTTCAAATTTCATTCATTCAGAGAAGGTGCACCAGCACATTCATTTAAAACTTTTCCTTGATCAAATTAATTTTTATTAGCAAATATATTCCATATCTGACTAACTGACATAATTGTTTCAAGAGTTGTTGAAACTTTCAAATATTTTGATCCTAATACTGTCCACCCAGGCAAAGGTATATGTAAACTCTAAGGTTGCCCAATTCAGGAGATTAAGACAATTATATGTCTATTGGGATAATAATAATATACACATCTATATATTAATGTATGGTAAAGTAACCGTATTTTTTCTTTTTTTCTTTTCATTCTAACTCACTTTTTTTCTTTCTTTTTTCTCACTCTATTTTTTTTTAAAACAAACCTCTTCTCCTTGATGAACAGAAAAAGTGAGCTCCAACATTTATTTTTAGTATAAAACTAACAAAATTCCTGTTAGACTAACTGGTATCTTTAGGACGACACAGATATCTGGCTATCAACTCAATCCCCCACAAAGCATTTCTAAAGGCTCTGAATTCTGAATGTGGGTTGAACTATAAGTTATAAATGTCACAGGGCCGCTGCCAAAAACACCCTCCAAGTTCTCATCTGTGAAGAGTAGAGACACACTTCATAATGCGATGTCATCACTTTGCAAGTTGTTCTGCCCCCGGCTAGCAAACGATGTGGAACCAGAGCGGGGGAACTCACAGTATGATGACAGCACATCATGAGATGGGTGTCAAGGGTGAGAATGCAGCATGGGTGTCAGAGGTGAGAACTTGATGTGGGAGTGTCAGTGTCAGCAACATCCCCGTGACGCACAAAGTGTGTCAATCCTTACTTAGAATGCAGAGTATTTAGAAATGCTTCTTGGACAAAAAGAAGAAGTGGTGAATGCCTGGCTATTTGACTGTACAGTGGTACCTTGGTTCTCAAACTTTATCCGTTCCAGAAGTCTGTTCCAAAACCAAGGCGTGTTTTCCCATAGAAAGTAATGCAAAATGGATTAATTCGTTCCAGGCTTTTAAAAACAAGCCCTAAAACAGCAATATAACATGAATTTTACTAAGAAGACCATTGATCCATAAAATGAAAGCAATAAACAATGTACTACAGTCACACAGTCAATCAATCAGTAGCTGAACTGGGTTCCACACAGTCACAAAAACAACAACAAAAGTTGCAAAAACAAAAATGCAAAATAAATAGCAAAAATGGACAGACCTCAGCGTAACACTCAAAACGGAGGTGTGGTACTCAAAATGGATGTGTGGCACTCAAATTGAAGCGTAACACTCAAAACGGAGCATGTTCAGCTTCTGAAAAAAGTTCTAACTGGAACACTTACTTCCAGGTTTGCAGTGTTTGGGTTCCAAGTTGTTTGAGTACAAAGGCGTTTGAGAACCAAGGCACCACTGGTGTGTGTGTGTGTGTGTGTGAGAGAGAGAGAGAGAGAGAGAGAGAGAGAGAGAGAGAGAAAGAGAACGAACACTGGAGCAGTGGTAGGGAACAGGATCCAGCCAGCAAGTTGGATGCCTATCACTCCTTGTCCTGTGAAAGCCAAGTCTGCAATGATCACAGAATTGTAGAGTTGGAAAGAACCCTGAAGGTTATCAATGTGAACCTTCTGCAATGCAGGAATCTCAGCTAAAACATCCATGACAGAAGACCATCCAACCTCCCAAGTTCACCACCTCCCAAGGAAGATCCTTCCACTGTCCAACAGCTCTGTCACAAAGCTCTTTTTTTGGGTGCAGTTCATCAGGTCCGGAAGTGCTTTATAGTGCTTCCCATACTGCACATTAGAGTTATGTATACAGCTCCACATTATTCAAACTGGTTTACCAAGGAGGTCTACCAACCTTGTTTTGTTTGGGTTTTTAGAAGCACAATTAAGGCACTTTTGCTCTGCAAGGCCTTTGAGTTGGTTGGTTGAATGCTTCCCCCACTCTCTACAGCTACTTTGATTATACACTGTGTTCTGCAACATTTTAATCTCAGTTCTGGCTATTTCATTGTGATGTAATGGGTTGTTCTGGTTTTTTAATATTTATGGTTTTAATATAATTCCATTGCCCTGGGAGCTGCCTTGTGAACCATCCTGAGGACTCTAATGGGCTGAAAGGTGAACCATAAATTTTAAAATGAAAGAAACATAATAGATGGCTTTAAAAACACCACTGTTCATTAATAGGACACTACCATTTGCATCCTTTTAGAGACATTTGCTGAGGATTGTCAAACTGCTTAATTCACTCTCATTGCGAAGAACAAAAGAGTCCGCAATAAACTTTGCAATGAGAATAAAAACAAGTATAGAATGAAAATGGCACATTCCTTTAAAAAACCCAAAACCCAGCAGTCAGCATCCCACAAATAGAGCTTCACACGAGGGCAACTTTAATCTGGCATCTTTCTCAACCCTAAAACCCACAAACACCGTGATGTGAACAGTAGAGGCAGCTGCACCAAAGTAGCTTGAAGAGCAACCAAACAACACTGACAACCTTTTTGACAGCACGACAACTTGGTATTATATAATTTTGGCTGGGAAAAATACCCCAAAACAACACACAGCTCTGAATTTGCATCCCCCTAAAGACCAAATTATGAAAGCCTCCTCTCCTTCCCCCCATCACTTAAAAACTACAGCCTGGGTGTTACTCACCTATGCAGGTACGGCTGTCAGCATGAAGTTTGTGCCCTGCATGGCATTCACAGTGGTAGGAACCCAGAGTGTTCACACAGCTCTGCTGACAGCCTCCACTCCTTACTGCACATTCATCAATATCTAGAAAAGAAAAATAGGTGGTTGAGGTATTATAGGCTTCAACGGCACCACAAGGTGATGTGCCAAATATGCAGCGATGGTTGCCTCAGGCTCACGTCATTCCTCTGGTGCAGCTAGGAGGACTACAAAGCTTTAGCTTCTATTTTTGATTAACTACAGGTTGTTATGTCATCCAAACATGACAAGCCGTGCTTAATCTTAACTGTGGCTTGTTTGAAGCAAGCTAGCTTCAAACAATGGATTATGAAGTTATCTTGCTCCAATAAGCCATCGTTCAGGTGAAGCAAAGTTTAAGATCCAGACATAATGTTAAATGCGAGTAAAAGCAGCTGATTTCATCCCCTGTGGCTGTGAGGAGAGGGGACAGTATACAAGCCTGTAGCTTGCCACTGTTCCCATAATGGGGGGGGGGGCATTGTTTATTGTGAATGTAGCAAGTATATACAGTGATACCTCTGGATGCAAATGGGATCTGTTCCGGAGCCCGTTTGCATCCTGAAGCGAACGCAACCCGAGTCTGAGCGTGCCGCAATTCGCTGCTTCTGCGCATGACGTCATTTTGAGCGTCTGCGCATGTGCGAGCGTCGAAACCTGGAAGTAACATGCTCCGTTCCTTCTGGGTCACCAGAAATGGCTCAGTCTGAAGCAACCTCAACCTGAGGTATGACTGTATACGTATTTAGATTACTGCTCTGAGGCTAAAGATCTGGTGGGTTATTAATGTGTACATTTGATTTTGCTTTCTCCTGCCCTCTACTTCCCCAATCCCTCAGTCTGCTGGCCTGCCTTCTCAGCACCTGTGCATCGAATCACAGAATTGCAGAATTGGAAAGCACCCCACTCGTCCAATCCTCTGCAATGGAGGCATCTCAGCTAAATCATACAGGACATATGGCCATCCAACCTCCAAGCAAGGAGAGTCTACCACCTCTCATGGGAGCCGGTTCCACTGTCGAATAGCTCTTGCTGATGTTTAGTCAGAATCTCCTTTCCTGTAATTTGGATCCATTGGTTTGCATCCTATCCTCCAGAATGGGAGAAAACAAGCTTGCTCTATCTTCCATGCAACTGCCCTTTAGATGTTTGAAGATGGCTACCATGCCTCCTCTAGGTCTCCTCTTTGCCATGCTAAAGGTAAAGGTACCCCTGCCCATACGGGCCAGTCTTGACAGACTCTGGGGTTGTGCGCCCATCTCACTCAAGAGGCCGGGGGCCAGCGCTGTCTGGAGACACTTCCGGGTCACGTGGCCAGCGTGACAAAGCTGCATCTGGCGAGCCAGCGCAGCACACGGAACGCCGTTTACCTTCCCGCTGGTAAGCGGTCCCTATTTATCTACTTGCACCCGGGGGTGCTTTCGAACTGCTAGGTTGGCAGGCGCTGGGACCGAGCAGCGGGAGCGCACCCCACCGCGGGGATTCGAACCGCCAACCTTTCGATCGGCAAGCCCTAGCCACTGAGGCTTTTACCCACAGTGCCACCCGCATCCCTGTTTGCCATGCTAAACAGAGCCAAACTAGACATGCCCTTAAATACATAGCAGACACGAACAGGGGAGTCCCATTTTCACTGTGAAGACAGCACACAGGAATGGTTATCTCTTCCCCTAGTTGGGGGTAATCCCTGCCATCCCTGTAGGAAGCGAAAGCCACATCGGCTCCTAGCTATGTGGGATTCAGAAAGGGAATCTCTATTCCAGAATCCCTAGGGGAATGAAAACACCAGCCTCACCTTCCTATCACGGTGGAATTGGACTCCTGTTCCCCCGTAATTGGTTTAGAAACCAAAAGATGTGCAGCAGGCAAAGTGCAACAGCTCCCCTTCTTTCCAGGCACAATTTTGGCCTGTCTTTGAATTAGCTGTTTCCCCTGTATCTTGGCCCGTGCCCTGCTGTGTCCTTTGGTAAACCCATTCTGTTCTCCTGGACCTCTAGGAACTTTCCATCTGTTTAGAGCACGTACTTTACTGCTCAACAGACACCATGACTTTTAATTCCACTGGGGCAAGACCTTCCTGCCTGCCTTTTTGTGATCTTCTATCCCCCGCAAATGCGAAAAGAGATTTGCTTTGCTGCTGACTTGAAGGAGCAGGAAAAGCCTAGGCCAGGAGTCACTGAAATTCAACAGGCTTCCGAGACGCACACTCCCGAGGATGACGAAAGGCCCTCTTTATGTTTCCCACCCTCATAAAGTTTTATCTGCAGCTCTCTCTCTTTATCTCTCAGCTAGGATTCAGAAACAGGTGCTGCTCAAGTCAAAAGAGCCAATGTCTCCAAGCCAATTTCACAATATTGTAATGGTCTTTATTTGAACAAGGCGAGAGGCAGAAGAGGAATATTAGGTGAATTCAAAAAATGTAGAGTAATAGTATTAACTGGATGGGGGTGTGAGATTACTTCCCCTCCCTCCCAATCTAATAAAATCTAATAAAAACAATTATTTCACCCGTCTGCCTTCCCTTCACCCCCCAAGTCCACCCAGGCTCTCTTCTTATCTCTACTTGGTATTAGCAGAAGGATTACAGGGCGGGGGCAGGGGCTTTCAACCAATGCTTTGCTATGTGAACCCATGGTCACCACGAGAGGAGGATGAAGGATGTAATGATGCCTCTTCCACCACCATGAGAGGGAATGGATCACACACAGCTTTTGAAGTAAGGGCTGCTGAGCTAGGGACCGACGACAGGCTTCTGGCTGCTGTGTATGTTCCTATTCATCCCCCACTTTGTAATCTGAGCAACCTGTCAGAAACTGTGGAAAGAAAGAACGAAAGAGCAACCAGTGGCACCATCAAGGGTCTTCTGCATCTTGTGGAGTCTGGTGCCAAGGAAAGGTCAACCAAGCTGTCCGTCAGCCAAGCTTGTTCTATTATGGACCTTCTCACTGAAGGACTCTTGATAAGCTTCCAAGGAACCTCAGGTTTCCAGAGAACAGTTGGCTTCATGCAGATGTGATGCTGAACTATGGCTTAGCTTTATGTGAACAGCCCTTGGGCTTATATAAGCCCCTCTCCTCCTCTGACATGGTTCTGGGAGACTGGAAAGTCTCACTTCCATTACATAGCAACACAGAAAGTTGCATCACACTGCAACCACTAGTTTATCTAGCTCAGTATCATCTATAGTAACTGACAATGACTCTCCAGGTTTTCAGACGCAGTCTCAGTTTCATCCAGCACTCCCTGGAGATTGATTCTGGGGATTCATATGTGCAAAGCATGTGCTCTAGCACAGAGCCATGACCCCCACCCCCCAAGTGATGTATCGCTGGTCAACAGAAGAGGATGAGCATGAAGTGCACAGCATTGCATCACTGCATGGACAGAAATGGAGCACCAGCTGAGGAAGCCCCACTGCCCCTCCAGGCTCTGGGGAGGGTCTCCTCGAGAGCCAGAGGCTTGATGAGCAGTTCAACCAAGCCTGCTGCTCCTCCGGCTCATGCCATATGTCGGCTGGGCCGGTCAACAGAGCCACACAAGCCAGAGGGACAGCATGGCCCGCAGAGCTGATGGGTCAAGAAGATATTAGATGGGAGGCCTCAGCAAAGCCCTGATGTGCTTCCTGCTCACAAGGAGACCCTCCCTAGAACCCAAAGAGGAAGTCCTCTTTGAGCTCTGGGGAGGGTCTCCTCGCAATCCAGGAGGACTCTCCAGGGTCCTCCCCATTTCTGGGATCCACTTCTGGGTTCCCAGCACTGCACATGTGTGCAGTCACACACAAATAGAGCATGCAAAAATGGGGAGTTGCCTGTATGTGTCTGTTGGCATAGTCACAAAGGAAGCCTATAGCAAACTACATCCCAACTTTTACTTGATCAGCTCTCAGATGCAGTGCTGGGAATCACTTGCCAAATTCTAATCAAACCCTTCCCAGACATCCCAGATCATCATGTGATCCCTTAGCCTTTTGGGAAAGGGGATGGGTTGCTCTGACTGCCCCCCTCCACACACACAATTTTCCAGAAAGGACAGGGGTTACTGGAGAGGGTAGCATTATATCAACTTTTAAATGAAAACATCTGCTTATCCTATTTGCTTTCAAAACAATCTCTGCTTTTTATTTCTCTTTCATTATCTCTCGCTCTCTTGTAATGCTGATACGCACTTAAAACCAACCTTGTAAAAATGAAAGGGGAAAAAATGTAGGGGGACAGCTTGAAAGAAGACTTTGAAGAAAGGAGAGCCTTGGCTTTTTCTGGCCTCAATTAAAGATTTCAACAAAGTTAATTGCTAATACCTTGCATGCAAAACTTGCCCATCTGAAGCCGATGCTGGAAACTGCTTCTGTTATTTTTAAAACCGGAAGATTGGCCTTTCCGCATCGCTTCCATGTCAGCGTCGTACTCAAACGTGCTGTTGCATGGCGCTATACATGAGAAGTTTCACTTTTTTGCGCAAGCTAGCCATCTGGAAGCATTTCTGCATTAGCAGATGTTGTTTTGAGATGTAAATAATAAACAGAACATATTCCCATACTCCTCATACATTACACAAAGGCGGGTGAAGTTCCTACATCTAAATTTTAGTATTATTTTATCATGCCACTTCCGCCACATCTTTCCACCATATACAAAAATAGGAAATTCCGAAGGGATTTTGTGTTCTGTTGTGCCATAGCACAGAGAAAGAGAACCTGGGTCCCTCCAGAAGTTGTTCGGCTGTAGCTTCCAGCACCACTGACCATGTTGGCTGGATCTGATGGAAGCTGGATTCAAACAACATCTGGAGTTCACAACTGCCGCTATAGCAGGTTTACATTCCCCAATGTTTCATCCATAAATTTACTATAATGGTTTGGCACCAGCTGCAGTGAAATGAATGAAAACTGTCCTGGCAAAGCTTTTGGATGATCTGACAGCTCAAACTTCCTGCTCCTGAAGGACTAAAAAGGTTGGAATCTCCAAATCTGAATTATACACAACAAAAATGTAACTAAATGCCTTTAAAGTTTTGGGTTTTATTTCCCATCAAGTGTAGGAATCAATAATGCAATTAAAGGGAACAAC